GGAACCATCTTCAGGTAGTGGAGGAATGTCAAAATGAGTAAAGTCGGTGTTTGTAAACATAGCCAGGTCCTGGCTGATGTCTAGCTCTTCTGCCGGGAACTGCTCTTGATCATAGGGTGATGCTAGAGTATTGAGATTGTTGAGATACTCCGAAAAGTTCGGCCCTGTCCGGCCGCGATACCCCGACATGGTCCTCCCAATGCTCCCCTAGTATATGTCCCGTTTGCTACTTCTCAGTACCGCGTACGGATGGAAAGTGGTTTGGTAGAGGGTGATGGATTGAGGTCGAGATTAGCGGTCCAGAGCCGTCGACAAAGGGCGCACGATGACAAACTGCGCGTGGCGGTTTTGTCGAGTCCAGAGCCCGGGGTGCAGCAAAATCACTTGTTTTCCCTCGTGCTAAATATTCAACTCGCCGTCCTCCAGCCCAGCACGGCGTCGTCTCTGTTAGGAGGTGGTGGAAGAATGGATGGAGGAGGAATAATGGTGGGGAGAGAAAATTGCGGTTGTGTTCGAGGTAGTGCGTGAAAGGCCGGGAGAAGAGAGAGGGGCGCGAAAACGATCAGTCAAAGGATTTGGTGAGTGCCACAGGTGTGGGATCGCTTTGAGCACTTTGGCGGCCTATACCCGGTAGCGTCGTGGGAGGCGGGCGCCCTGCGTGGGCTTCGTTCGTTGCGTGGTTGGCATAGTGGGCCTTTTCGGACTCGCTTCGGGAATTGCATTGTGCTCCTCCCACTCTCTCTCTCTCGGAATGGCCCTGTCTTGACCGGCCGAATTTATTCGCTCGCTTTGTCCAAGATCTCGCCCATGGTAATAAGATAACTTAATAGCTTCAACCCTTCCATGCTCTTCCAGATGGCTAAGTTTAACATACTGAAGCCCGTATGCTTGTGACTGCCGACGTACTGGGGCCATCGCTGAATCATGACTTTGTCTCCATTACTGGGTACTGGGTATGTCGTCCCGTGGCGGTCGGTTCGCAGTCTCTCCGGCTAGTTGTCGCGGAAAACTTGTCATGATCTCATCTGAAATTGGTGGCCAGACTGCCGAAAAGAGTCCTTGTGCACCAAGATTAGTCGGGCTTTGTGTCCGGGAGTTGCTCATCCAGGCGCTCTTCGCCGTCCGCTCCACTGATTTTGTATTATACGCGCGAGCTCTCCAAAGTCTCCTGTTTGATCACAAATCCACCCTTATTCTGCCTCTGACTGTATGCGCGTAATTGACTAGCGCCTGCCAGATGACAACCAAGGGTCAGAGAGGGTTGCATGACTTCGATCAGGACTCGTCTGCTTCAAATGCTCCAAGCTGCGCAAAGAATCCTAGTGTGGGGTTTGGGCTTCGGCGTGCCGCATGGCTGAACAAGCATGCAAGTGGCACGAATCTGGAAGTATTCACCTACCCATTCCAGTCGTATGGATAGTTCTCAGTGTAGTCAGAATGCTGTTGGGTGCAAGATCTCGGTCTGCTCATATCGACAATGAGATTCTGCAGACGAAACTGCAGCTCGCGATTGAGAGCGTCACTGCCCATGACTCAGTTTTTAAGTCACATGACTCCCACATGACTCGAATGTTTACATTGGCTCCTTATCTCATTCCACTTCATCCTCAATGTAAACAAACCCATCAGCACCATCATGGCACCTATTCTGACGAAATCACTGAACCGCCTGTCCAAGGAAAGTATCCTAGACCTTGCGCTGAGATGGCTGGAGGGAAACCACACTTCTACTCCCTATTTACAGAGCAATCGTACCGGCTTCGAAGCTGATGAAGAGGATTATCTACACACCCCGGCCGAGACTATTGGAGAACTGCGAAAACGGTACCACGATCTCAAGAAAAATGTTGCGAATGCTGCTAAGCGCGACATCATTGATCGCATTGTTGATGGCGACTGGCGAAGGGGTCTGTCGCTGCATCAACATGCCATGATCGACTTTGCCGCTCTGGAACAAAACGTCAATGCATTGAGATGGAGTGCTCTTAAATTGGTACCACTGGAAGCAGAGGAGCAGAAACTGCTGGTCGGTGGTGACTCTCAACGTCCCGAGAAAAGGCGGAAATTGGGTCATCACGAACCGGAAACGCCCTATCCTGAGGTCTCTCCGCAAGCATTTCTCTCCGCCTTGAAACAAGAGATCTCGCCCTTGGTCAAAGCGCATTACCACCTCCATCGCATGCCTCCGCCTTACCAACTCACAATCCTTCGACTTTACATAACTCCACTCTCGGCCTTTGCACCCAACCGATCCAGGATCCCCAAACGGGCCAAGCATGCCACTGATGCGGGCAGAATCATGTACATAGCTCTTCCCGACAGCTGCCCCTACGTCTACATCTCGATATCTGGCTCCTCACCAAGCTCCAGCCGACGTCCAAAGGGCCAAAAGGACGCGAAAGATCGAATGATGGCGAAAGTGGACATGGCAGCCATGAAGAAAATCGTCCTAGAAGCTATTCCGAAGGCACTGTCTCGACCACATCGTCGATGGGCACTCGATACGACGAAGCTTGTGGCCAAGTCTCTCAAAACTATGTGCGAGCTGAGAGGCAATCACAAGCCGGGAACCGGCGGTGGAGCCTACAGCGTCTTTACGGACGGGGAGAAGGCGTCCGAAAAGAGTCCGGTGGATGTACAGAACAGCGACGAGGAAAACCAGGGCGACGAGAGACATTGTCTAATTGAGAAACGATTCGGAAACATGTCTGGTGAGCACCATGCACCCCTCGATCGCTTCCACGTCAAACTTTGCAACGCCATACCAATCATTGATCATGATGATGGAGGGGAAGGGTCGGATCCACCAGAAGGACAAAAGGGAGACGGCGATATCGTTTTGACATTTTCCGGAAGCGACGTGTTTCTTGGATTGAAGCAACTTGCGGAGTTGGGATCGGAATATATTGATTTGGACAAAATGCCTTCTTGGATGACGGGCGAACTGGGTATCAGTAGTTTGACGGTTTAGGACACGACACGCATTGTCTACCTTGGATACTTTTTTTTCTCGTTGTACTGGATGACACTGGGTTTATGACGTCGACGATCCTGGTTTGGGACATGATAACCTGGGGGTTAGGGAGCCGCTCTGAGGGCATGGCATACACGATGAGCGGGTTGCGGCTGATTCCGTTGTTCGTTCTCCCAAATTTTCTCTACGAGTTTTATAAATCCATTGCAGCGACTTTGAATGCATTACTAATGTAAAATATCCCCTTCATACACCCCCCACTCGACATCGCGGCCGCCTCCTATCCCATACGAAAACCCTTTCGTTTTCAATATTCCCCAAACACCGCTTGCACCAGAAGTTCCATGGAACAGGCTAATCCTCCACTTTTAAAAATTTGGGGGGCTTGCAACAATGAACCTTTCCAACCTGAACAGACTCTCTTGAGATGTCCGTCCGACGCCTCGCCCACTCGCCCGTTCGTTGGAGCCTTGCTTTTCGTCCGGGCATCGGACGGCCAGGCCCAGACGACGGCGTTAACGCCGCATAAGGGCACGTTATGTCCAGGGCTGGGCAGCCTTGGGTGTTGGAGGTCTCCATCTCCCGAGGCCCAGCGGCTCCATGTACGCTAACCTCGTCTCGTACCGGCGAATTGGTGATTTGAATGTACGTCTTCGAGCTAACGAGAACTTGCGCCCTCGAAGCATCAAGTCGCTGGGTACTAACTACCTAGGTATATAGGATGTGAACATACCGCACTCGCACCTCTCACCTTCTCAATAATGTTTCCGCTCATTCGGGCTAAATATGCCCCGTACCTAGGCAGCATTGGAAATCAGGGTGCTCGGTGCTGCGATAGAAAAGGGCATCGAGAGCATTGGATCTATGGAGAATGATAAGTCAAGTCCAGTTCGAACGAGAAAAAAATACTTGCATCGATAGAAAGCTATTTGAAATATCTCATCTGTGTTGTTCTTTCGACCTCTTCGTTCCTATCGTGCTCTAGAACTGTCTTGAACTGTCCGCAGCACGGAAGGTAGATAAATAACACCATATATACAATCGGATTCTTCCTCGCAACGATGCCCTCCAAATACCTCTCAAAACTGCACGATAAGTCCGTCCTCATCGTTGGCGGTTCATCCGGCATAGGATACGGCATCGCGGAAGCGTGTCTAGAATTCGGCGCCAAGGTCGTGATTGCCTCACGCTCCGCCGACAAGGTCTCCTCCGCCGTGTCGACTCTCAAGGCCTCGTACCCAGAGCATGCGGCAAACGTCCGCGGACACACGGTGGACTTGAACAGTGCCCAAACGAACTTCGAAGAACAGCTCGTTGCCCTCTTTGACTTCGCCACGGACAACGGCACGAAGAAGCTCGACCACGTCGTCGAAACCGCTGGGGATCTCGGGCTCGCCGGTAAACTGGGCCTCGACATCATCACGCCGGAGCTGATGGCCCAGGCGAGCTCCGTGCGTCTGGTCGGCGTCATAATGCTCGCCAAGGTTGCGAACAAGTACCTGAACAAGGCGTCCACGAGCTCCTTCACCATGACCAGCGGTGCTCTCATCTACAAGCCGCGCCCCGGATTCGGTCCCTTCATCGGCGCTAGCGGCGGCAAAGGGGCCCTGACGCGGGGACTAGCGTTAGATATGGCCCCCATCCGCGTCAATCTGGTCAGTCCCGGCGCGATTGAGACCGAATTGTTGTATTCCAGCATACCACAGGGGATGGAGAGGCAGCAGATCGCCGAGATGTACAAGAAGATGAATTTGCTGGGGAAGATTGGGAGTGTTGAGGACGTGGTGGAGAGTTATTTGAGCCTGATGAAGAATGGCTTTCAGACCGGGACCGTGGTGCATTCTGAAGGAGGATACCTTTTGATCTAGAACCTCCACAGACAAGACAGGAGTATGAGCATGGACGCGAGCAGAATGGAGAAATCCCAGAATCTCGGACTTGTTGAGATTCATGTGTTAGAGGACAAGCTGTTGCGGACCCGGAATGTCGCCAGTTGCCTGTATGTTGAAAGACTAAAGCCCTCCTACTACAGCATCAACCCCCAATCCCAGTCCTGCACCCCTGTTCCAATTTGTGTCCCGTCATTACTCGCGAAACCGCCTGATGGTCCGGCTTCACCGGCGTTGCTTAAGCGGCCCATCCCGGCCATTGCCGCGTGGCTCAGACGGTCGCAGTAAATATCGTATCCGTCGATGGCTGTATCGATCTCGGTCATCCAGGGATTCATACCTGTGTCAGTAGAATCAGAACTCGAGAAGGGAAAGAAATGGCTGCTGAAGTTGGCATCAGCGTTGGAAAAGGTCGTCCATGGGGTGGTCGTGTCTTGCTGGCTCTGCATGTGGGACTGTGGGCGGGGTTGCTGTGATTGAGTTTGAGGTTTGGAGGTAAGATTCTCGCCACAAAGGCGGTAAATGATATCTCGACACTTTGGGGCGCTTGGATTCAGATCATTCATTGCGTCAATTATGCTCAGGGCTGTCAGGACTTGATTCCTCCATGAGCTGGCGTCTGGGTGGCTTGGATTGCGTCGCAGACAGTGGATTGGTATTAAAGCGGCCTGGAGAAGGAAATATCTGCGAGAGGGAGTGATAGATAAGCATGACGCGTTTTGTTGGCTGGATCAATAGACGAAATGGACATTATTACTACAAAAAGACAGAGATTTTAGTACTTACAAGACGTACCAAGCCGCGAGCCTAGTGTGAGTTCCGGAAGACCAAAATTGAAAGATGGCTGAAATGCATTCCTCGGCAGCCTTGAAGCATCGCTTGGTAGCAATTGTTTCAGCGGATGCACCCTGCAAGGGTGACATAGGTGTCGCGGTAGCGACGTCTAAGCCGTCCTCTGCCCATCGAATCAAAAACGGGCGATACATGATGATGCGCATGATTCGAAAGCGCCAGCGGCTGATTGCATGGCCAAGGAGATACTGATTAGGAAGTGGTAAATTATCATCCCGGTAGTATGGCGGGAGGCTGCTGAGCCAGCCTTCAATCAGCTCGTCATCGAGAGAGATCAACTCTGCGGCAGAAGGGATGGGATTGGAGATGAGGCGGTTATAGATTCTGATGGTGTGGAGATGATAGGATGACTGAGTGCGAACATAGGTGTAGATTGTGGTCTCATTGACTTCGGTTGGGTATGTGGGTGAGTCCAATTGAAGGTCCTGTGCAATAGCGTTCGTCAGGCAGAGAGGGCGGAGATTTTAACAGCACGTACCTTTTCTTGTATATTCAGCGGAAACGGGATGTCGACTCCTACCTGAGGCCAGTTCAAAGGCCTGCCATAGGTTACGGTTGCACCGACGTCCAGCACACAAAGCGACCACCAAATCCTCCTTCGGATTTCCTTTCGAAATGGGGCAGTCTGCCATCCCCGAAACTCCTTATGGAGGCCCAGTGATATTGCGAGCCGTAGCGCAATGCCCCCGTAGTTGTAGCCACTGTTTGGTCTGTTTCTCTTTTGCAGGTAGTTTGCGGCCATCGCAAATGCCTGGACAAGACTGAGACTCCCAGTCTCCAAGGAATTAATAGACAAGTTCGCCTTCACGCCGTTGAAAAGAGTGGCGTGGGTATCGTCGGAGCAGGTACTCGACACGAAGGACCCGAGAGCCGCAACGAGGTTAGCCAGGGTGTGCCATGTGTTCCCGCTGGTACGGCCATTGAGCTTCGCATACTGTTCCCGGAACGTAACTTCGTGGAGGATGGGGAAGGTCGGGTGATATAGAGCGAAGTAGGCGTCGATGAGAGTGTCGACCACCGCTCGAGTAAGCAGAGGCTGCGCTCGTAGCCACGGCGTAGTCGTCGCCGGATAATCATTCGAGCGATGGCTGAAGAGTTGCTCTAGGCTTTCACGCCGTTCGCTTTTGCCTTCGGCCTTATCGTCGGCGCCCGTGCTCATCCATATGAGCCGCAGAAGAGCAGAACCTGAGACTGATCCTAGGAAGCCAGCATTTGAGTCATCAGCAGTCAACGTGGCCATACCGTCCGTGATTTTAGGGATTTCAGCGTCGACATCCCCTCCAAAAGCAGAGTTGCCTGCACGAGGGTCCGCAATATTCCAAGAAGATTCCCGCTCATCCCATTCAAAATCGTCGTCGGCAGCTGAGAGATTCTCTAGTGGAAAAGTGGAATTGTCGGCGACATTGGACGTTGAGTCTACGGGAGATTCGAGATAGCTCAAATTGACCTTATGATCTGGGTCCCCGCCAATCGTGGAGAAAGATTGAGAACGCTTCTGTTGGCGGTGCGCAGAGCCCAGTGCTGGCAACGCGGTTGAGGTCCCAGGTGGGAAGCCTGATGTGGCTGCCTGGGAAGCAGTACTCGTCGTCGTGTCCGTTGCAGGCCTCGGTGGGACATCGAGTTTGTTAGTGATACCATGAACAAGCATTTGCGACAGTTCAGCATCGGTGAAAAAGGTCTTCAACAGTGCTTCTGCTTTTTCCAACCGCTCTTCAACCTCTGTCAAGTGCCTGTGTATGCATTTAGCCCCGAATACTTCGCCGAGGGCGTGGCGGGAAGGACTATAACACTGACTTCCTCGTTAAAGATGATCTGCTGTGTTTGTCGTACAAACAGTGTCGATTGTACCGCTGGCAAACTGAACACACTGGCATCCTGCCATCACAACGTCCTTTGCGACGACGACATTCGCGGCACGACTGGCCAGCGTTTGCGCCAGCACGATCAGTGTTTGTAGGTTCTGACATATTTCTTGACTGCGCAATTGGGATTCAGCATTGGACTTCGTTAGTCAAGGACAGAAACAAAATGCAAACGAAATATAGAAAACGTTGAATTCATCGTGTGATGGGAGTCTTGTGCCTTGTTCGTTTGCGCGACTAGCCCCGCAATGGCTGTTTGCGTTAGCTAAGCCCTGGACGTTTTCCAGTTTGAAAGCGGTCGCGGGTCCGGGACCGTTCAAGGGACCGCTTTAAGGGCCAGCCCTAGCGGCTACTCGGGGCTCGGTAGCTTTCTGCAAAGACACCACCTGACCAGTCAGCGTCGGAAGTTGAGCGTGCTTTACAGAGCTTCAGATGTATGATGGATGCGGATTAGGTGCGCGAGCTGGGTTAATCCGTCAAACCTCAAAGCATGCCCGTGGTCGAATAAGAGCCATACCTGGCGAAGAAAAGCTCAGCCTCGTGAAAGTCTATATATTGCGCTTTATATATTGTCCTGGCCCGCGCACACGTCAACCCCCGACATATTTCAAGAACTTACCCGTATGACAACCTTGCCAAAGTGCCCACCTCCGTACAAGTACTGGAATGCTTCTTTGGCTGCATCGAAGGGGAACACTTTGTCGACCACAGGCCTGATCTTCTTCGACTCGTAGAAGCGCAACATCTCTTCGAATCTGTCTTTGGACCCATTGATGATTCCTTTGAGCGTAACATTGCGTCGCAGCGCCAGAACATTCGTATTGGTGCGGTCGGCAGTTTCGTCTTGCTTCCCACTTAAATAACCGATGCAATTGATGATACCTCCAAATGAGATGCAATCAAAAGATTTCCTCAGCGTCTGCGCACCTCCGGTCTCAAATATGATGTCGACACCTTCGCCGTTGGTCAAGTTCATCACAACATTCTGCCAGTCCGGACTCTTGCGGTAGTTGATAGTGAACGTGGCTCCCAATGCCTCAGCACGAGAAAGTTTGGCATCGGAAGAGGAAGTTATGATTGCTTAAGAGATGTCAGAGTCCGCAAAAGATGCTTCAGTAGATGTCACTCACTCCTTGCACCAACTGCATGCGCAATCTGTAGGCCACCTATGGAAACTCCACCGGTGCCTTGTAGCAGAATTGTCTCTCCATGCCCACCTGGAGAGTTGATGGGCCTCGATCCGTTGATAGCCATCCATGCCGTAAGTGCTGCAATAGGCAGAGTGGAGGCTTCCTCATTATTCAAATAATCAGGCGCTCTGACCAACCCCGTCACAGGAAAGACTCGGTATTGCTGAAGTACACCATCAAGAGGCAGGCCAAGCCCAAAGGCCATGTCCTTCTCTTTGATCTGACCGGTCAGATGTGTCTGATTGAAAATGGAAAGAACACGGTCTCCGAGGTTCCAGGCGCTTCGTTTGGAATTTCCCAACCCAACCACAATGCCACACATGTCAGAGCAGGGGACAACATTTGGACTGGCTCCAATTGTTTTGTGGTGAGTATAAAGACCCATTGCGACTAACCATGAATAGACAAGAAGTTTAGCAAATGTATCTCCACCGCCGCCCGTCCAAAGGCAGCTGGTTCGGAAACAACATACCTTCGGTGTCTCGATAATTCAGAGACACTGCATGAACCTTGACCAGCACTTCGTCCTCGCCCGGGATGGGAATTGGGCAAGTGGATCTGTACAGATTGTCCAAGCCATCCTGAGCAGTCTCCCATTTCACCATCTGTCGCGAAACCACAGCCATCCTTTCCTAGCGTTGACCGATCTCTACGAAGAAGTCACCCGGTAGCAGAAGTCGTACATGCGAGCAACATTTGTGACGTTAGCTTGTGTGACGACTGAGTGCCATCGTGGAATATGCGGAAGATCTCCCAGCAAGATTAGCATCGCTAATGTCCGCTGACCGAGTGGAGAGATCTGGCGTGGCTGAGAGATCCTTTGGAGGGCGAATGAAGCTCCATGATCTTAGAACTGTGGGCATGCTGTGGGTTGGCTCTGGATGCGTTCTGTGAAGTTCCCAGCCGGCGAGTATTTGAGCGTCAAAATACTTTCCCCTCCGCCGGATTCAGTACGGTGACGCAAGTGACGCGAATGACGCAAGGCGTCCATGGCTTGCCATGGCAAAGCTGCGATTCACTGCCAGTGTTTAGCCGGAGCGGCCTCCATTGCAACTCTGGGACAATTGTCCTGTGTAAGATCCGCAACCACCTATTCTTTGGATACATCACTTAGTGCCCTCTTTCACCATGGCGGCGCAAGGGAACATGCACAATCTAACAACTCTCATTAAGAGGTTTGTAGTCATTTTCTTATGCGAACTTGGCTTCACGGCCGTCCTGCTGGCATCTCTGCGAGAGCCTCATTGGGATATAACCTTGCTAACCGCGCTGCCTGGCTAGACTGGAAGCTGCCACTTCACGACTTGAAGACATTGCAACTGCCATAGATGGTCCGGGGGCCACCGTAGCAAACGGGGTCGCTGGTGCTCTGTCACCTCCCTCTACTTCTGCTGGCACCCCTGAGCAGGCAGCGGCCCCTCCAGAACCCTTGCCTAAATCGGTCGAGGCCTTCAATCAGATAATCGAGGAAGATGTCGTGGCTTTTGTCAAGGCTAGCGAGAAGATTGGCGGTCTCGTGGGGGAACAAGCAAAAGCTGTCAAGGAGGCGTTTGAGGCCGAACGAACATACCTGCTTGTCGCGGCTAAAGCAAAGAAGCCCGATCCACAACCTCCTGAGTTGATGACAGAACTTCACCGGCACACTTCAACTGTGGACGAAATCCGAGAAGCCAACCGACCGTCTCCGCTATTCACTCATCTGAGCGCTGTGTCAGAAGGGATTGTCGCCTTGGGCTGGATTGTGGAAAAGAGACCAGGCGATTTTGTGACGGATACCCTTGGAGGTGCTCAATATTGTAAGTGGGCGTCCGCGGCCATGGGAACTGTCTCTCGTATCTGGCGCTTTCCCAGGGGGAAAGTTCGCAGACTGAGACCAGTTTCATGCTTTGACAATGACACTGACTGATCCTACAGACGGGAACAAGATTCTGAAAGAGTACAAGGACAAGTACGTGGACCCAAGGTCGTTCTGCTCTGCGCATGAGTTACTGACAAAAGCTGAAGGGACAAGTCACATGTCGAATATATCCAGGCGTACTACAAAGTCTTTCGCTCCCTTGCCGCTTACGTGAAAGAATACTTCCCCACTGGTCTCACCTGGAACACCAAGGACGGCATTGATGCCCTGGAGGCTCTGAAACAAATACAGTCTGGGGCAGCAACTCAGAAAGCACCAATGGCTGCTGGAGGTCCTCCCGCTCCTCCGCCGCCACCACCTCTGCCAAAATTCGACGATGATGGTCCTCCAGCCCCTCCGCTGCCACCCCCTGGCGCTGCTCCACAAGGCGGAGACATGTCGGCGGTCTTCAACCAGATCAATCAAGGTTCTGCCGTCACTGCAGGATTGAGAAAGGTCGACAAATCAGAAATGACTCACAAAAACCCATCACTTCGAAGCAGCTCTACGGTACCGCATCGATCCGGATCCCAGACATCACTTACAGGACGTGGCAAGTCTCCCGTTCCCAACAAGAAACCTGACAGCATGAGGTCTAAGAAACCAGGCCGGAAGGAACTCGATGGGAACAAGTGGATTGTGGAAAACTTCGAAAACACTCAGAATGAGGTCATCGAGATTCCCGCAGAGCTCAACCACAGCATTCTAATCTCAAAGTGCAACAAATGTGTTCTGAAAGTCAATGGCAAGGCCAATGCCATCTCTATCGACAACTGTACAAACCTCTCGATCCTTGTAGACTCGCTGGTCTCTAGCCTGGACGTGATCAAAGCGCCGAAGATTCAGATTCAAGTTGACGGAGTGGTGCCAACGATTCTACTTGATCAGGTGGATGGTGCGCAGATCTACCTGTCGAACGAAAGCTTGGGCACGGAAATCTTCACCAGCAAATGCAGCGCGATCAACGCTGTGTTGCCTCCCAAAGATGAAACAGAAGACGATAGTAAAGAGTTGCCATTCCCCGAGCAGATACGAAGTGTGATCAAAAACGGGTCCCTTGTCAGCGAGATTGTCGAACATGCGGGATAGAGGGGATTGTCGGTATTCTTCTTCGAGCGTGTATCATTAGCGATGGGGTTCCAGGCTGGATCAAATGGTCTCCGACAAGTGAGCGGGCAGTTCTTTCGAGTCGATGCTACTTTTATGTGTGCATAGAAGGGGATGTGAGTAGGATTCTGAAAGCATATCCCTTTAGCTGGGATTGTCTCGACCATTACCATGCCGTCATTGGTAAGATGGATATCGAACTTAGCCATTGAGCTCTTCCTGAATCACTCCCTCTTTTTATCAGACTTCCACAAACTCTTTGTCACTTGTTGTTCGTCTTACAATACAGGTAGCACTCTTATTTTCAGATCTGAATTTTGTTGGTGTTCCTTTGGTTTCAGCCTGCCCTTCATCTAGAGTCTGGTCTGTCAACTTCAGACAGCAAGGTAATTTATAAACTGCCAGTTCACATAGACGCGGTCGATCTATATGACCTCGATTATCCGATTCGTCTCGCCCATTCCCGCTAGATTTTGGCAAAGCACTGGAGGACCCTCTTGGAACTCTCTGGATGTCCCCGTCCAAGGGGAGAAACATCCACGACGACTTCCAAAACCGAAAGAGAGGCAAGATGATCTCAACACGGATCCTCATCATCTCGGACACGCATGCCCAACTGCCTTTGCCAGCCGAGGAAGGGTCTCCAGTGCCATTCCGCTATCCACTCCCCTCCGCTGACGTGCTTATCCACTGCGGTGATTTCACCTTGAACGGCAAGCTCTCGCAGCACGAAGCAGCCGTGGAACTGCTCAGGTCTACCACCGCGGACCTGAAGATCGTGGTCCCAGGAAACCACGACATCACCTTGGACAGAGACTAGTACCGCCGCTTTCCCGACAAGTACGCCGACTATGGACCCTACTCGGAGCAAACCCTAGACAGGATCCGCGAGCTCTATACCAGTCCGCAGGCCAAGGAAGCCGGAATTCGATATCTCGAGGAAGGCGTTGCAGGGTTTGAATTGCGCAACGGCGCACGACTCACCGTCTACGCCAGTGCTTATCAGCCCGCGTTTTGCGACTGGGCGTTCGGATACCCGCGAAGCATCGACAGATTTAACCTGCGTCCGGGAGGCGGAGGCGGGCCAGAGCATCCTGTCCCGGATCACGGCGACATCGATATCATGATCACGCACGGCCCTCCGAAAGGCATTCTGGACAAGGTGTGGCGGGGCGAGAATGTGGATGGACCAAACGTGGGCTGCGAGCATCTTCGCCGCGCCGTCGAGCGGTGTCGACCTCGGATCCACTGCTTCGGACACATCCGCGAGGCTTGCGGCGCCGTCATGAAGAGGTGGAATGCCGTGGAGGTTGCTGGGCCGGAGCAAGTCTGCGCGGAGGAAGATCCACCGTCGTTGACTTTTGCTGGCGATGGAACAGGGGGATGGGAGGACAACCAAAAGGACGGTTCCGCCGCGAAGTCTGTCGCGGGACTTGGACCACTGCACTCGACCACCACCGAGAGAAGAAGGCAGCCGAAGAAGGTCCAAGAAGAAGGCGAGCCAGAAATACTCCCATCCCTTTCGAACCTGACAGCGTCGTCCAAATCCCGCCCAGTCCCGCCGTATCATCCCTGCACAAACCCAAGCAGCTACTACATGTACGCGCACCAACTCCAGCAGCACGACAATGCCGGTGAAACGCTCCTCCTGCCTGATCCATACGATGACCAAGTGCGACGGAAGTGCATAGCCGTCGACGTGCAAGGTTTGAACTTCGGCAGGGAGACACTGTTTGTGAACGCGAGCATCGTGAATCTCAGATACAAGCCGTTGAATGCGCCGTGGGTGGTGGACGTCATGTTGCCAGAGGCTGCTGGGGGCGAGCACCGGACTGGACTAGGTGCAAAAAAGGCGACGTTGAGTTCAGGAGAATAGGGGAGTAGAAACTAAAGGGATCGAGGGTCTACATTGAATTGCACACGAACGGGCATCGCTCAGAGGACGTAATGCTGAAAGCTCCTCGGATAGCCGCGGCGGAATGAACAGAGAAATGACATGTCTAGCCAGTTCAGGTTTCCATACAGGAGGGCATACCACTGGTGATCACTAATAGAAAAGAGGACAAAGAATCTAGAGCCCGAGACACGGCCCAGATGGATGAGGAATGCGTGCTCCCTATATTCACTTCGCTCAGCCTCGCGCACACCAACGCGGGTCTGGTCCAAACATATGTGCCCACCCACCCTTCACCAGAGAATTGTTCCATTTATATTTTGATTGTGCTCAATTCCTGTCACACAAAGACCCCCTACCTCGACCAGGGCGATTACCGAGTCCGAACAATTCCTCCACACCAACTCCAAGCCATGTCAGGTCGAATTGGCACCAGGCCAGCAGGCGTCAGGGCCTCGATTCGAACCGAACCGACAACATATAAATCTGGGTCTTGTCTGGACGAACTAACAGTAACGGGTTAGCAGGCAACAGGACCCGGATTCGACTCTCTCACCGATCGACTCAACTGTATAGAATTTGTAGTATAACCGGCCGAGAAAAACCAACCCGAAAGGGTGAGTTTCGCTTATCATAGACCAGAGGTTGACTGTTCTGCGTTAAGTTTTTGCCCTTCTTGATTCTTGACTTTTTTAATTATATTTGATTTTGTGGGTGAGGTTGTGGGAAGGAATACATGTAACCTGATTGCCAAACAAGTCGAACGTCTCTAAGCGACGTTCTGATGTCCCCATTGTCTCGTTCAGAGCGAGCAGCATCGTTCTGCACCAATCCAATTGGTTCTTCTGAGATATTCTAAACGCACACCTTGTGATAGCTAGAGGTCTTCGAAATAATCCTTGCTTACTGGCCCATATCAGCTGACGGGAACATCACCTCTTTCTCCAATCCCAACCCTGCAGCAACGCAAGCCGCGGATCAAATCTCGCCCCAGAAAGTCCAGCTTCTTCTCTAAACAACGGGTACAAGATGCCCCTAAGGGTTCTTCTTCTTCTCCGGCCAGGTCTCCCACCGTACTCGACGAGTTTACCATTGCGCAAACTAAGAGGTTTCCTACCGGTGTCGAAGTCAGTCGCCTCAAAACCGGTAATCCCCAGCTCGGCAAGTAGGGAGAGGGCTTCGGCAGGAAGAGGGCGTGGGGGCGGAGGTGGGTCGGAGGGATTAGGTAAAGTAGGTGGTGTTGAGAAGATGGTCGCTAGATCAGCGTGGTAAAGTGAGGAAGTTGGCGGCGTGGATTGGGAAGGGCCTGCGCTTGGCCAGACAGTGTTCTTAGAAGCTTTGATATTGCTGTCGCTGTCGTTACCAACAGAATGCGAGTGCTCCTGCTGATGTCCAGCCCCCGACTCATGCCCCAGAAGCTCAGGTGAATCGAACGTCAATCTGCTGGCCTCCTGCCGTGAACTAGGTCCTTGATCTTCCAAGCTCGGCGGACAGGTGGTCTTATTCCCCGCTACACTCTCCAGCACCACGGCGACCGATTCGGCCAGCTTCACATCCTTCTCTCGAACCGCGAGTCGCAAGACGGACATACACATGTCTTCGTTAGGAATGATATGCATGCCCGTCACATATCCATACCAGATGAATTTCGTGACATGCGGGTCGCCATGTTCACTCGCCTTGAAGAGCAAGTGTAGCAGCGTAGGCCTTGGGAAGAGAAAGCCTGAGTCCGAGAGCCTGTATAGAAGCTGTAGCAGAGCGTCAAAGTCATGCCGCACATCGCAGATAGCGTGGATGTAAATGGTCCAAAGCCATTTCGGGACGGGCATGCTGTTCATACCTCCGATGAACGATGTCTTCTGAGTAAGCTTTTCAAGTTCGACTGTTGCGAGTTCCAATTGACCCTCGCGTATTAAGCACAGAGTGTTCAGGTGGGCGTGAGTGTCGTGGATGGGAATTTGTTGTTTCGCAAGACGTGCAACGATGGATGTGCGGAGATTTGTATCGGGATGAACAGCAAGCACTGTCAACACTGCGAGGAGGATGGGCACTTCGAGGGGGATTCCTTCTCTTTCCATTTCTTGGAGGATCAACTTGACATTGTCGACAGAGCCGTACTCCGGAAAACATTGCCCCAGGATGAGCGCCTCATAGTGGTCTGGGGCCGGCCTGATTTTCCGGTCTTGAATCAGGATCTTCAAAATGTTGCGAACGGCTCGAGCGTGCGGTGTGTTCTTTGCTATCCATCGCAGTTCCGCTTCGAGGACTGCTGTTGTCAATGCGCTCCTGATTAACGTCTTCTTGGGCCTGCCGCTGTTTAGGTCCATGCTTCTGGTGCTGTCCGCACCATATCTCCTCGCTTCTGACAGAAGTTCTCGAAAGCGCTTAGGCTTGCGGAGTCTCCTCATATATGGTCTTTCGATAACTGTTGGCTTCTCGTGGCCATCATACGCTCTCTGGATATTGACCCTGGGGGTTTTCGAGCGGCTTAGGGGTCCGTGGGATTGGTCGGGCAAAGAGGCGGTTTGGTGACCACGACCCTCTGCACTTGAATCTTCCGACCAACTCGCGCAGTTCTCCCCTCGGTCTAAGCCGTCTGCTAAGTCACGATGTGCTTTTGGCTTCCCCCGCGGCTCTTCCATTCCATGGCACAGATCGGCCTTTGATGCTTGACTCGCTGTTGGATCTCGACTGTCATTGCCATCATGGACCTCCTCCAGCTGCTGCTCCTTGGCCGGCTCGAGATGGGGAAATCCTTGAAAATTGACGTTCGCAGGGAATGTCAGGTCTTGGGAGGATAGGTCTTCGGTTTTCACAGGTCTTCTTTTCTGCTTCGCGTCGCTTGTGCCTCCATTGGATTGACGCGTAGTATGAGAGGTCTGGATGGATGTCGAGTGAAGCCGGCCACCGCGAGGGGCGGCGACAGTGCAAAAGCTTTGCCTCAGTCCATGACGGATCAAGGATCTGTGCATCGGCTATTCATAGCTGAGTATGCGGCTATGAGGCTTCTGCAAAGAACCGAAGTCACTTAAACGCAATGCTCGGCGACAAAATGAAGGGGAAAATGCAAAGTCCTAAGATGCATGCTGCTTTAACGCCCAGTGTCCCATTTAGGTCTAGTGTAGCCGGGTCTATTGTTTATCACCTCTTTGGTGATACTCGTATGTACTTGTACATGGAGCAATCTTACCGAGTGATTCACCAGTGTGGGTCGTTGATTTATCTCGAGCCTCGCGTGAAATGGCCTGAGCGAGATATATTCTAGCTGATTGGCAGGCTGAACCTGATACCATGGCGGCCGAGCAATGGGGCTTTCGTCGAGGTTTGTGAGAGACCGAGACAGTGAGATGCTTGCACAGCTCATCATGGAATGACCGGGTCCAAGTCTTGATGGTAACTGGGGGTACGGTCAGGTACGAAATGATCTCTCCGTCACTAATTGATCCTGAGAAGACTTACACTGTATCAGGAGGTCCTGGGTTGTCCATCTCTATCCTGAGCGGCTTCATTCGGGCTTGTTTCCAAAAGAGCAACGAAGATATGGTCGATAGCTGTCCGTGAACATATAGATCGGCCTCCTTAGCCAATCGAGACGTAACACGATCAGACTAGTCCATCGACGATCTTGATATTCCTCTCGCGGCCTCCTTTCCAGCCTCACTAGAATCTAAATTGACCTTCCAAGGAGAGCTGTTTCAATTCAAGACATGACGGTACATGTCAGGACACTGGGTGCTCATTGTAATAACCGCTAGGTCAAAGCCAGTGTTAAAGGATGGTGAGTGGGATTATCGATAGCGCTCCTAGGCTTAACGACCAACGTAACGGCGATACGGATACGAAAGTCCATGCGTGCTATGCCGAAGGATACGTCAAACCTGTGTTGAGATGCATGGAAACTCAAAGGTTTCGGTTTCCTTTCGGTTGGTGTCCGAAAGCCGCATGTGGTGAGAGCCATCACATATCTCGGAGACTGCAACGACGGGAGCTACAACTTTCGAGAAGCTTTGCCTTACTCGAAGTTGTGCAGAAGCCCATCTCTCTTTTCCTCCTTGCCTCATTCTACTGCTGCCATCCAAATGTTGTCAGGGAAGATCTACCTGATCGAATAGGAGGGTCGTACCTGTTCGTACGAGGCTGAAACGCCAGCTTGGTCACGACCAATATCTTCTCTTACCAGGCTTTATGACACTTTCTGACTTGTCTTTCCACCGACTGCGACCATAGCAAAAGTATAGGAGCCTTTTTGCTTGGAGGGAAGCAGTAAGTGGTCTGACCTATATCGCTCTTAGCGACCAGCAACGACAAAACGTTCACCGAAGCGGCTTGGGCCACCACATTATGCAGCCAAGCCAGCGAGTGCAAGATGATTCGCGAAATGCCCAGTATGTCCGACGCGGGGGTGTTGCATTTACCAAGTTCTCCCTCTCGACGCATGTGGCAGTCGCGAAGCTAAGTGGGAGAGACCTGAAGCATTTAAGGCCCCCATTACGCACCCTGCTTCCCTTGGACAGTAGTTCAGGCATCCCGCCTTCATCACAAGTGCATAACTATCCATCTCTTCGAGCAGTCTCGGGTGCGCAAAAAAGGATTGTGAAAACAGACAAACGACACCCAACGTCGGACCGCGACTCGGAGGTAGGCGAGACCGTTTGCTGCCCCCAAAAAGAAAGGAAGAACAAGGGGCCTACGAATATCTATTCCCGATCGGGGGTCGTTCATGATATTAATATAAATACTAACAGGGGAGAAAAGGGCTTTAGGATAGATTTCCTGGGGCCATGCACTTGGATCGTTTGCATTTAATTTGTCAGGAAAGAAACAGAGGACTGAACTGACCTATATCAGTAAGACCCATCCATCAACGTCCACCAAGAGGCGTGTCATCTACACAAACATCTCTTCGAACCAACCGAGCTAGCAAGCAAGATGGCCTCGTCGATGTCTGCCATCGTCATCATCCCCGGATCCTTCACCACCGCGCCAATGTACTACGATCTAGTCGACAAGATCCAAACCCTCCGCGGCGGCGAATCGGGCTCAGTCTTCGTCAACAACCTCCCGTCGGCAAGTCGCAACCCGCCCGAGGAGCCCGCGACCTTGGATGACGACGCTGCGTTCTTCCGGGCCATCATCGAGAAACTGGCGGAGCGGGGGCAGGACGTCGTGGTCGTAGCACATTCGTACGGCGGCGTCGTGGGCACAGAGGTGCTCAAGGAAGTGAGCAAAGCTGAACGGCAAGCGCGTGGAAAGCCCGGTGGTGTCGTGAGGATTGTCTACCTCACTGCCCATGTACCGTCGGAGGGGAGTTCAGTGACGAGCATGCTTGGGGACGCTCCGACTGAAATGGTCGAGTACAGAAAGGTATGTATGGATCTCTGTCCGTCCATTCATCCCCCCGTCCACAATATCCTCTTGGTAGTGGGAATTGACGAAGGGGCCCTTTTAAATCTCCAGGACGGCTTCCATCGACTCGTGGGCATCGAGACCATCGCCCAAGCCACCTTTCCCGACCTTGAACTCGACAAGGCGGTGGCGGTCGTTAAGCACATGACCCGACACTCAGCCGTCAGCTTCGCCGGCGAGATCACGTACGCGGGGTACAAGCATGTGCCGGTCTCGTACATTGTGTGCGAGAACGACATGATCATCCCGCCGGAAATGCAACGGGGGTACATAGAAAAGATCCAAAGGGAGAGTGGGAGGGATGTCGACGTCCACACTCTCAACACGGGACACGCTCCCAACACAACGGCGCCGGACCAGTTGGCAAACGTCATTGCCCAGATTGCAGCTGCGGCTTCAGCATGAAAAGAGTCAAGACTGGTCTGCAATAGGGATGTTCAAGGAGGCGTGGCAATACAGACACGGCGAGCGAGCGAAGTCTATGGGCAATCAGAAACGCTGCAACCAGCCAGCTCAGGTACGGGTTACTGCGGACGATCCAATTGTCAGCAAGAGGAGCGAGGGGAAATATGCCGTACCCAGGCAAGTGTCTCGATGTGGCAGACAGATGCTCATGTTCGGAGAGTCCGGCCCAAAACGTGTGTTGGCCTGTTCACGGTTTGGAGTTTGAGAGTCTGATCACTCAGGGATGGATAGGAATACAAAGACGATAGTGGGCCCCAGAAATGTTTGAATAAACGTATCCTTTCTTCTTCTACTTATTACTCCGTCCACTTCCGGAGACCCGCCTCGCCGTCCTACCACTGGTACTACCAAGGCAGAACCACCTGCAAAATCCAAGTTGGTGTCCCAGATCAGCACCCTTATACATGAAGAAGATGGCTTTCCTTGGATTCTAAGCTGCACTGTGATAGACAAGGACATCGAGGCGTCCAAGAAACCCCTGAGATATGACACTTCAATGCAACAACGCCCAGCTCACCTGGCTTAATTTACAAATTTTAGGAAAACCATACTAGAAGAAATGTTCAGTCCACATTCGCCGCAAATGTACCAGGAGCATAATCGCATAGCCAGGTACCTCGACGAACGGCCTTTAAAGCCATGAGGCTGGATCACCAGCTACTCGTGAGCATCTTTTGTGACGATGGTCGACCTGCCGGTCTCCAAACTCAGTCTTGGGCTGCAGTCGATGATGCTGCTTTCCGGAGTATCATCCGTATTGCTGGGTGTATATCGGAAATCCTCGACGACGACTATTTCTCCTTCAAGTTCTTCTTCGTATCGAGGTGGGGGGGTCACGTATGACGGGGCGATGTCAGAAAGGCTGCTGCTCCCGGTGCCAGCATTGAGCTCTGCAGGTTCGAATCCATCCCGATCGCAATGACCACGATACCCCGACCTTGCTCGGCCTTCTTCGGCTTGCACAAGGTCTCTCACGAAATCGGAAGCATTTCGAAGTGTACGGATTTCCTTTTGCAATCCGTCGTCTTCTTCCAGAATGCCTTCCCGATCAAGGATCATTTCTCGCTTCTCCTCGTAGTCATTGGTGCCTTGGCTTCGGAAACGGAAACCTTTCCACCACGTCCTCCATTTATGCTTGCAGGCAGCTTTCCGGTAGAGCCTCTTAGTTCGACGTTCTTCCCATCGCGCAGCGCGCTCAGCTCTTCGTCGAGGATCTCGGAACAGGATTATTGCACGGATGACTAGGCCAGAGAGTATGACAAGTAAAACGAGAAGAAGAATTGCCAGCCCGATGCGGTATTCCAATGCACGTCGTTCTTCATTGGCAAAAGGTTCGAGATTTGGTGGTGGTCCGTGAGGATGGCTATGAGGGTCAAACCAAGGAGGCGGACCATGATGACCCGGTCGAAATCTTGGAGGTGGACCATGAGGCGGTTGAAAAGGAGGGTGATCCCCATGCGTAAATGGAAAGTGAGGTCGATCGTTATTTTGTTCGTCCGGAATGGGCGTTGGTTCAGGTTCGTCGTGTTGCGGAGGGGAAGTCGCTGGTGGCGGCGACCTTGATGTAGCTGATGGTTCTGCCGGCATCTGAGACACCGTGACAGGTTCCTCGACATCATCTGCAACAAGCCCTTCCTCTGGAGCGTCTCCTTGTAGACTGCTATCAACTCCAAAGCTGTCCTGATCGTCCGCGGAACAAGGTGATTGGGCATCACCGTCTTTGCAACCACCAGGTCGATGTCTGTGATGGGAAAAGTGAGAGCTAATAAGTTTCGCGATGGCTGGGACTTCGCTCATGGCAGTTTCCCACAAGCATTTCACGCTTGAGCAAGCTTTGAACTCTTGCTTGAGAAGAAACATAATCTTTGCCTCTGTTGAGGCTATCTGCTCATGAAGGGTTCCCATTTCACCTCTCAATTCTTCGAGCCGAGAGTATTCTACTTGTAACGTGGTGTCAAGTGAGGGAATAGGGTCGGACACGGTGGCAGTGACAGAGAGTCTCTGGTCTTCTGACAAGAGCCATTCGTCACAGAGGCTTTCTGAGACTTGAGCGACAGGTTTATCTTGGAGACGCAGGACCGCGGGCTTGCCTTTTTGCTTGAACGAGGTGGTGAATCCCGAGGTATCTTTGAAAGGATCGCTTCCCACGATGCCCTCGAATCGGACAGAGATTATGGAAGCTTCGCCTTTAAGACAGGTTGATTCCCAAGAAGCATTGACCTTCCGCTCATCTGAGCCATCGGAAGGCTTTGATGTAAAGGCAATCTGGCCGTTGGCAACGTTATTGCCAGCGTTTAGGGGAATGAGAGGAAGACCATTGAGACGGGGAGGGGTATTGGAGCACTCCTCTTCGGCAGAGTCGATCTCAAGGGTTAGTTCCTGTGCACACCAATGTCAATGACACCCCAGCCAAAAGGCATGACCTGATCGAACATACCACTCCATCATTGGTGTCGTCAAAGCATTCTTGGCAGGGAGCGTGGAAGTGTATAGATAGATGATCAGGATCTATGGCTGGTCAGCCAACAACAAGACTTGTGGGGGTAGCGTCCACTACCTGTTGTACCAGCAACAGTCGTGATGTCTTTTGCCACCGGGTGAGAAGAGGAAGAAGTAGGAAGGAGAGACGCCGACGCCAGCGCAGAAAACAAAGTGGCCACGCGAGTCCAAGAAGACCTCATTTTCGGACCGATGATCGAACAAAACAACAACAGAAGAAGAGTACGAATGAGGAGAACTATGCCAGGAGAGAAACACCGATGATCCAACGGTACAAATTATGGTTCAATTGAATGGCATGCTCCCCAGTGAATTTTGGGAGCAAATCGCTCACTTTTTTGGCCTCACTTTTCCATATTCTGATGCCCGAAGAGTATGGTGGAGAGGAATCGAGAATCGAGGAGGAAAAAGAGCGGACTGGTGGCAGGATGGGATTCTTTCGTTTTGGCTGGAGCCTGAGCCTGAAGTTGGGCCTGAAGGAGGTGGAAGAGGGAGGCTTGGAGGCTTGGAGGCTCGGAGGATCGCGCCAAAAGCCGCTTGGGGCCTTTTGAGGGTGGGTTGCTCGCCTCGGACATGGACACGCGATGCACAGCCCCGACAACTGCTCGGCCGCGTCAACCCTTCCGGCTCCGAGCATTGAGTGACCTGGGGGAAAGATCGGCCTTTGGGGTGTGCTGCGTGTGCTGGGTGTACTGGTGGTCTTGCTGGCGGCTCACGTAAGTACTGGGTAATAATGCTTGAGGCCATAAGCGTTAGATCTTTCTTTTCACTACAAGTACTCGGTACAGGGCACACAAACTACAGGTACTTTACGGCAAAATTACAGCAACCACGCAACCTGTGGTGCACGTGACAGCATGCTTATGTAAAGGGCAATGCCAAGACTTCGACCAGCTTACCAGAGTCCTCCATCTCCAGCCAATGAGGCCACCGGTTGGTTCCTTCAGTATCAAAATAATCACCTGCTTTGATCACCCATCATATAAAAAAAAAAGCCACTCGTGCCGCCGTTCGTGACTCGCAACTACCGTTATCGAGCAAGGGATTGGAAGATATTCTGGCACGAATCAAAACTACGGCCACACAAAGTCCGAAGTTGCGGACAACTGGGCAACGATGCTCCCCCTAGGCCTCCTAACGTCTGCACAGGGCCATCCCATGCTGGTCGAACTGAAAAACGGCGAAACTCTCAATGGTCATCTAGTAAACTGCGATACGTGGATGAACCTGACGCTGAAGGAGGTTGTGCAGACGAGTCCAGAGGGAGATAGATTCTGGAGGCTGCCAGAATGTTATGTGAGAGGGAATAATGTGCGTTCTGACTCCCCTAGAATGTGCGATCAACGCAATCCGAGAGCTGTGTGATGTCTTTCATGCTTCAGCTACGGGTTGAGCCCCAGTCCTGCTCTTTCTGATAATCAAGAGCCGCATTCACGATTACACGTCCTCTCAACTGACAATACCATCTAGATCAAATACCTTCGGGTGCCTGAAGAAGTCATCGAGCTCGCGAGAGAACAACAACAGCAACAACAGCACCAACAGGGTGGCGGGCAGCGCGGCGGACGCGGGGGCGGGCAAGCTGGTCACGGCGCCGGTGGAAGGGGAGGTGGTGATCGTGGACGAGGGGGCGGTGGACAGGGAAGGGGAGGCGGAAGAGGGCATGGGCGTGGGCGAGGTGGAGGAGGAAGAGGGCAAGGTTGAGATGGATTATTTTTTGAGAAGTGCTATGGTGCTTGTTCTTTATGGCATAAGCATCATGACGTTGACATTACAGAGGGTGCAAGAATACCGAAACGTCAACACACATTCACAACATTACCGCCGGACCGTCACAATATGGCATCCAGGTCCAGGCTTCAGCCCGTTCAGAAATTGCCCAATTTTCCGCATCAATGTTCAATCAGCCAGCGAAAGGATAAAAGAAGTTGTATGTGGTCTGCTATCGAAGTGCAGACTTCAAGCCGTCACAGTCTACCATCAAAAGAATGGAGACATCAGCGCAAGATTTTTGGGAACCCATCATTTTCCACACACAAACCAAGGCCAGGACTCCTCCGCTATGCTAGTCCAGAAACAACGGCTTGCACACTCCCAGCGACTTTCAGGGTTCACAACATAAAGAATCGAGAGGAAACTATATTTTGTGCCCCCAACCATCTTCATCTCTTTGGAAGGGCCAGTTCCAAGCATCGTCCAACCTAGCGATGATTGCGTCAGTAAAGCGAGCCAGGAGGTCAGATGGTGGTTTCTTACCTTGTCCGAGATGATGCCTTGACCCTGTAGATACCACCCCAATCTCTTCACTAGTTCAACCTGCTCTTCCGGGGTCAGACCCATAATGGCCGTTTCAAGCACTCCGCCCACTGACGTCTTATACACAGCAATGAAGCTCTGGTAATACATGTATGCAAACAGACCCATGATGAATTGACAGTCCATGCGATCAGTCATGCCTCCGTGTCCGGGGATGCTGTCACCAAAATCCTTGATCTTGAGAGTTCGCTTCAGGCCCGATGCGAAGAACCCTCCGAAAGGAGCGATCAGCGAAGCGAACGATGCAAAGACAAGAATGTGAAACTGCATGGGCGCGATCCAGAATGTATAGTCAAAGCCGGTCCACTCTTTGATGTTGTACGGATAGGCCTTGAAAACCGGGTTCGGGTCGCATTCTAGACCGGTAAATATGTTGGCGCCCAGATCATTGACGGGACAAATGAAATACTTGTAGCGCATCAGTATGTTAGTCAGCGCAAACCCGAAGAAAATGGTGCAGATCCAAGCTCCCACAAATCCCTCGACAGTCTTCTTGGGGGAGAGGCTGATAAGTTGGGTACGGCCAAAGGTGATGCCGCAAATGTATGCAAAGATGTCGTTGGTGATGACCAGGGACGCGGGCAGGAAGAACCAGATCATGCCTTCGAAAACGTTATTCATCATGAAGTGTGCTTGGACAACAATCAGATAGAGTGCCATATGAGTCCAAGCGAACTGGGCAAACTGGAAGCGGTAGTAATTTTTCCGTAGCGAGGCAACAAAGGACATGAATCCTGTCATAGAGTAAGCAATTGCGCCAAAGAACTGCAGCAGCCTACACACGTACCAAATATATACATCATGAAGCTGATGAAGCGGTGATGGGTCGCAAAGGGTAGCAAGACTTTATCCACCAAGAGGATATGTTTGAAATAGTAAATGACACTTTCGCCGTACAAAAAGTACATGGTGATAGCCAGGAAGTACCAGTTCAGCGAGGTCGTCAATGGGAGGTTCTTCTGCTTGGTGGGCACTTGAGCGATCGCGATAACCTCTTTGAATGAAACGATCTGGACGGCGGTAATGACCATGAGGACATAGACGTGACCCGCGAACATTGCGCCGAAGAAACCACTTATCATGGCCAGTGTCCATATTGTCCGGGTTATGAAAGTCTGCTTCTTTTTCTCGTATTCTGACACTTGGGCTGGCTTTTCCCCCTTTACGATATTTCCATTGGTGTTGCCGTCATGCTGGTCTTTCTGAGGGCTCGGAGGCTCGGAAGCTGTGTCGCTGGCCGCAGAAGAGCTTTGTCGACGGTGATGGCCATTTCCGTTGCCGTTGCCGTTGCCGTTACCGTTTCCATTGCCGTTTGACCGGTGTTGGAACTTGACGCCCTTTTGCCGGGGCATAGCTTCGTTATGGGCGGCGTGGAAGAGCCGCAGGTAGAAAGTTGTACCTTGTTCCCTCAGGGGTGCGCGCCGGCTGACAATGGAAATCGCGGACTGGGAAGGAGAGGGGATGCCTCGCTTGACACGTGCTTGTTGGCTGGATGCCTGAGACTGACTGTCAGGAGCGAAACTAGGCGCCAGTGGATTTCTCAATCTTGGGCTTGGGCGCACCTGGACTCGGCACTCTACCACATTCAATGCGCAGAAGATGCGTCGATGGTGAGGGATAGATGGTTAGAACAACGGGATGGAAGATATCTCGAATCAACAAAGTGGATAGCAGGTTGGGCCACCCAAAATGATTGAATCGATTGATTGTGCAGGTAGCCAGCTTAGTAGTTGGATTTGCGTCATACAACGAGTCCCCCGCTGCACCCAACGAGGCGTCTAGGCACTGCTGCTTAAGAAGACACGCTCGGAGCCGCAGTTGTTCCGGGCGTTCGTCACTGGAGGATCACTAGGAACATCCGCACCGCTAATGCACCCTTCACAACTTCGCCTTCGCCGTGGCCGAAACCCAGTGACACGCACACACCGACACCACCGCACCCTACTGCGTCCAATGCGCGTTTTCAGTGAAATGTGTGCCTTGACGCCCTTGCTAGGCACATGAACGACGGACTCGACTGGTGAACCTATGCCATTTGTGCCCCTTCCTGCTTCCGTCGCGCTCTTCAATGGAGGCCAAACATGAGTGGCATGGACGACAACGAAGACGAGACAGATCTCTTCGACGACGATGACTTCGATAACCTGTCGGAATCTGCCCTACAACAACTAGAATACGATGCCATCCTATCAACTCAGAAGGCCCAAACCTCCAAACCTGTCCCTCTCCCTGTGCAGAAACCCACGGCCTTGCCGCAGTCGAGGTTTCCGCCTCACCCACAATTCAATCCTCAGCCCCGGCCTGCGCATCCAGCCATTCAGAGATATCTGACGGAGGATGATGATAGCTTTGAACTGGTTGGAGAAGAAGGCGTGCCCACACCAGTAGACGATCAAGATTCTTATCCTGCACGTCGCATTCAGTTCAGCGAGGCTGCTCAGAGAGTACAATTTCGCCAGCAACGATATGGCCAAGCTGTATCTCGTCCGCCCCTCGACCAGGTGAATCATCAACGTCAGAGAGGTTCGTTCGAAATAACTCCAGCAGACGGCTTGAATCATGGGGCTGCGGCTGGAATGGGCGAGATGGCGTTGGACGCCCCGTTTCCACAAAACGGAACAGCTTTGTCGGGAGATGCTCGTAATCCTTCCCATGATGGCGTCGATGAACTGCTCCGAGAGAGGGAAGAGCTTACCCGAGAGTTGCAAGCTGCCAGGGACATGGTCTCTATGCAAAAGGGCGAGATCTCCATCATTCGAGCGAACTTTGAGAAGGAGACCAAAGTCTACGACCGACAAATCGGCGCCCTGAAAAAGTCAATGGAAGAAGAATCCGCAAAACACGCTGCTGCCCTCTACGCCTTGGCTGAAAAGAACCGTAGCCTTACCACCCGGTATCAATTCCTCCAGCAAGAGCACAATCAAGGGCTTCAAGAGACCAAGACTCTCAGGCAACGCTTGAAAGATAGACAGACGGAAAAGGAATCTGATCCAACAACAACTCCCAAGCGTGGCATAGCAAGCTCCCTTCGAGATGGTTTCAACGATGACGATATTATGCTCATGTCCCCCTCGAAATCTGCACGACGCTCGAAGCCGCCCACGCCAACAGCGGCAGCGAAGAGGAAACGAAAATTTGATGGGCCCAGTCCTGTGAAGCCGCTTGTTTTGCGCCCGTCCAGCTCGACAAGTCAAAATGAGATGCCGCCTCCACCTCCGCAACCGATCCAGACCGTGGAGCAGGTTGTTTCGGTTGTGCAGAAGGACAAACAAGCTGAACGCAATCTGAGATTCCTACAGTCCATCGTCGAGTATCGGGTCAAAGATTCGAAAGAGCCACTCTTTGAAGCTTTAAGCAAGTTTGCCTTCCCCTCGAACCCGTCTAAGACGTTTTCGGCACTCCTATGGGAAGGCATTGCTCAGCTCAGGGGACGCCGTCTCCCTGGTGACCTCCTCCAACTCTTGATAGATTTGTGGTCCAGGGCACTGAAAGAACAATACTATAAGCCAATTGCCTCTCTGCGGGAGATAGCGAGCCATATCGTCGATCTCGATGTGCTTGTCATTGATTCCGGTATCATCACGGCAATAATCCCTCTCCTCAAATCCACCATCACGATCAACGGCGAGAAACGCTTTGAACACTCACCGGTGAATCATGCGACTTATGGTAGGATCCGTCAAACCCCTCAGTCAGTTATAAATCGAGAGGTTGACGGGACGAGCTGCCTGGAGCTCATGCTCACAATCGCCTACACTGTGTTAGACGACGAAGGACTTCTCGCTCTTCTATGGCGTCTTATGGACCACCAATTCATCCTAATGATGCTCAACGCCTGGCAGCCAATATCCGACATTGCACTCATGCTCCGCTTACTCGCCACAAGCATCTTGCCCGCTACATTTGGCAGTATTTGTGTTGGTGATCAGCAATCGCAGGTCGAACATTGGATGATGAATCGGATCTGCTCTTTGCTTAGGGAAACGCCCAATGTCGACGAAGGCGTTCCTCCCTACACGACCCAGCAACTATGTCAACTCCGGCTCGAGGCCATGGATCTCCTCATAAAACTCGCAATAACGTCGTCTCCACATCCGCACAATGATCCCTCTCATCATGGCAGCCTTCTCATCGCAAATGACACCCACGCCATTGCCCGCCTCGTCCGCAGTTTGTACGACCAAGTCTCAGCGATGTACTCTCTCCACCCCACCACGCACACCTTACATGCGTCTCTCATCAACAAAGGTGTTTGTCTTCTTTACCACGTCTTACAACTTCACGGCTCTGCTATAAACCTGCAAGAGAAGCTCTCCGTGATCAACGGCGGGGTGCACAAACATCGCGTGGTGCTCACCAGACTGGCTTTCTCGGAGGGATTTGTGGTAGATAAATTTGTGAGTGATGAGACTGTAGCGATGGCAACCCAGATGCTGGAGGAGAGTGTGACGCCGGACGAGGCGGATGAGCTTGTAAAGTGTTTCCCAGGGTTCAACGGGAGGGGAGCTGGCAGAGATGAAGACGAGTAGTCCTGTTGTGTTAGGTGCACTAAAGTTTGACTATGGTCTCGATTACAATACTCCCTGATTGTGGAACGCGGATGGCCCTGGATAAGCTCTGGACTGGGTTCGCTCAAAGGTGTATGTCGATTGATGAATGACGCCGCACCGCAGAAGTCAGGTCTCCCTATCCTCCTGGACTCAATTGACGGATTTATCGAGCTGCCTGAGGAGACATATTGATTCTTTATCTCCGTCTCCGACAGCCTCGTCGGCGCATTCTATATCACCCAGAGAATCCTCTTCAGTTTCAGCGCGTTTTTGGGTTCCAAAGCCCCGATCGCAGTCGCTGTCTAAAACAATGCTGTCACTACAGATAAAGGCATTAGTCCAACGGCGCTCGGTGCTATATGTCAACGAGATCAGACGATTTGTTTTCTCCACTTTCTGTACCACCTTGATAACGATGTGGACTTGTGTGGTCCTCCCCTAAAGATCTGTCGTCTTATGCCAAAAGCAAGTTCCATTGTCGTCAAAGAAAGCCGGCGGCGTTGCACTGTGTAAGCTGAATATCCCCTCGATCTTCTTGAACGTTCTTCGACTTATTGTCATCCCCCGGGTCGTCTTTGGCCAATCACACATGACGATTCGAATTCCTTCTTACAGTTCCCCGGCTCCCGATGGCTTTGGTAACTTACTCCCGCTATGCTGGTTCAGTCAGCGTTCCAGCCAATTCTCGCGTAGCAGCCAGTTCCGGTTCATCCTGCCAAAGCCCAGGTATACAGATTCTTGCCCTTCGACACTTCTTTCACTCTTCGTATGTATAGCACTCGAGAGCCGTCATGCAGTCGGCGTTTTGAGCATTGGGATAGTCATGGCGCACAAACCGAGGGCCGTCAGTGAAGAGATCTGTGCTGAAGACCGCGTTATTTATATCCATGTTTTCTGCGATATCTGAGCATGTCACCGGTGCAGATACTGTCCGAACACTATGCGTGTCAGCCAAGTCCGTCGGCAGAGCAAGGCCTGCGCAAGAATCCACACTCCTCGGAAAGGAGAGCTGTAGTTCACAGACTGACCCGAGATCATCTATATCGGCAGAAGGTTTCGGGGAAGTTGTAGACACAAACTACGCGTGTGGGGGAAAAAAAGGGGCGGAAATGAAGAATCACTTATCCTAAGCAGAAGTAGCTTGGGTTCGTTCTAGGAGAATTGGGTCGACTTACAGATCATCAAAGGAGTTGACCATCGGACCACATTTTATCCAGAAGTAAAACGCGCAAAGTACGGAATACGAGGCGGTCCTCTGCACCTCCAGCGCACTTCTGTAAGGCTCAGCCCATTCTCTCCAGATCTGAAGGCACTTGGCCTGGAGCCTGCAATGCGAGCCGCTGGGCCCTGGCGGAGATAGAGCTGCCCTTTTGAACTTCGTATCCCTTGCTCCATGATGAGGTCTGGGGCTTCGTATCGCGTTGCATGACGCTGGGCAGGAGAAACGTCAGACCATTCTTCACGTCCAAAAGCGATTTTTCAACCACAAGGAGAAAGATCCAAGGACGCGAGGAATCCCTCCAGTTTGGCCTTGATCAGCCTTGCTCAGCTGGTAAGTGCGCAGTAGTCGTGCTGGAGGATGGGAAGGGAGAACGAATCGGGCTCTCGGTAATGCTCCCATAGCTCCATCGACGAGAGTACAGGGCTCTCGGCTACCTAGTATCTGGAGGCATGGAAACACCCGCCTACCTACATTGAGGGTGAGGTTCGAGGTGGCCAATGCACCACACGTCGCTGTTGTTGTTGCAGTTGGAGGAAATCCCTGAATAGGTTTCTTCGCGATCTCTTAAGATTTTAGAGTGCACTGGAAGACGTCGTTCTAGGCCCCTGGTTCTGTCCCGTGCTGATCCCCCTAGTGCTTGGGGCGTGATTATGCCCTTAACTTCGAGTTGTACCGAGTACTACTTGAACCTTTTCATCCTGGTCCAAACAATTAAAACACTATACATTACATCTAAGTCGTGGTGTCATATCCAACCAACAAGCCCTTGGCCGACTGCAAACCGAGCAACAGATACATACGCCCTTTTTTTTTTTAATCAGGAGCCGTCCATTCGAGATCGTCAATTCATTATGTCAAGGGACAATAACCGGATCCTCTACCCTGCTTCACCTTGGTCACTACCGTCCTGGGGGGATTTCGATTCGGTAGGGCAATCCATTCACACCGTCTCCATCTTCTTCGCTTGCAAGTCGGATAACGGGAACCTGATTCCCCCTCCTACCACTTCTCCGCGAACTTCTCGTGGATTGTCGCGTGAGATCATGATGGACAACGGACCCAGTGTTCGATTCTCCAGATCCGAAATCAGATCCATCAGAACGGGAGCTCAGTCGTGACACCGCAGAGAACATCCTCGAACTCGATCCTGCTGTCGAAGGCCCGGGCCTCTGTCTTGAGCGAGACGGCGAGACTGAAGTGCGTTCCGGGCGGAGGTGCGTATCAGTGGCACCATCTCCATCAACATCGTGGACGTCCGCTTTGGTATCGGGTTCTGATGATGGGCGGTGCGTGAAATGGTCTTGCTCTCGTTCAAAGGAAGAGAGGGAAGGCGCAGAATCTTCTGAGACACGGCGCGGAGGTAGTTTGTGGTGGCGTACGGAGCCGGAAGCTGAATAGGTGGACGCGACGGAGGAGGTTTCCGCGTCTGTGTGAGGAGAGCGGAATGGCGTCCTCCGATGGATTAAGCTGGAGGTTTCGGATTGAGACGGGTATTCAGAGTCATCTTCGAGATCGAGCATTTCAACATCGACGGGGTTCATATTGCGGAGCAGTTCGGCAAACATGCGCATTAAGCTCTGGAAATCTTCGTCGTTCAGCGGCGTGGATGAAAATCGGGCTCGCTCGTACGCCGCGAGAAATGCCACTGTTAGGGAATTATCCGGTACCACGCCAATATCAATCAGATATTGAAGGTATGCTCTCATACCCATATTTCCGTTGCGGGCCAGCCGATCAATGACCCGGGGATCAGGCACCGGTATGCCATCTGGATCAGGTTGCATACGCGGATCAAGGGGCGCTAGACTTACAGCCTTCGCCTCAATCAAATCAATCAACTCATCCACGACTGTGCAATACTCGAGTCCCGGCAACTCCTTGGAAGCAGGTGATGACCACCCAGGATGCGCTACCTTTCCCCAAGTTGGCTCTGCATTCTGGTCCGTATTGGTCTGCGTCTTTGTCAATGCAAGCATCCTCGTCCCCATAATGATCGTGTCATGCTCGATCCTCCGACTCCTCGGCCGGGCCTGATACGCAATCACGGCACTCTTCTCCAAACATTCTTGAATTAGCTTGTGCACTCGCCGTCCTGGTAAGTCCTCCTTTTCAATGGGCATGTACGTCTTGGGTATATCCTTAAGCACCGACCGATTTGTGTACAGCCGCGAAGCATATATAAGGGCAGCCAGAAGAGCGGTAACAACGTAGTCGCCCGCGATTAGGAAGATGTCGATTAGGCGTCGCCGCTTGTAGGATTCATATATAGTGTCGGAGGGGGTGACAGAGACGATGATGACAAGGATCAAGAAGACGGCGGTAAACGAGGTGCTGTAGAAGATGCGGAAGATGATTTGGCGCGCTCGTGCCATCTCTGCGGTTGTGGCAGCGTCCGCGACTGCGCGAGAGTCATTGTGATAACGTTACTGACATCTATCCAATGGCTGTTTCATGGTGAGCTAGGAAAATAAGTGGTAATGACAGAGGTGAGAAATATAGTCATCGACATAGTGACTGAGTTGAGGGATGATATTGACGGGATCCAGTGAGCAGGTCGACAGCCCGAGCCCCACAGCGCATTCCGGCTAAATATCGGCAATAAGCCGGATGCTGACAAAAAACCAGCTTTTCTGTTGAATCCGCCTTTGGTTTAGGCGATCTTGGCGATCTTGCCACTTCAGGAATGATCACATGCCGCTTTTGACTTCTATCAGAACGTACAGTAGTCTTTCATCCGATCCCTCTCTCCTCCTACGCATACACGAACAATGTATACTAACGCACTTTTTCTAGAGAACCCGATTGTGCCGGACGATAACTAGCTAGTTGATACCCAGAAATCTCTCTATATCGTGCTGGCGCAAAGTGTACGCTATCCCTTGCCCACAACTTTCCTATATTGTACCGTCCTTGGCGTGTACCCACAACTTCTTTCCACTAACTGTCATGACCCCTTGGGCTCTCAGAACCATCATTTCTTCCGTCATACAGTCGCTCACTTCCAAATCAAATCTCTGATCCAGTGCATAAAGAGTGAGCACGAGCTGTATACAGGCTAGACGCACCCACAGGCATTTCCGCGGTCCAGCGCTGAACGGCCGTTGCGTAATCTTCGTCTCTGGTGAAGGATTCACCCGGCGTTCCAGCCAAACACGGGATGTCGATGATATTGAATGCACTCAGATTCTGTAGAACAGTGTCTATGCGCACTGCAAGCCCTGTCATTGCTCCTGTCCTGTCCGGTCTTTCGTGATATTTATATAGAAAACGGCCAGGCATGTTTTATGCTCGGTTCTTTGTCTGACGCAGGTTTTCCATACCAATACTATAGATTACATACATAGTACCTTGTGCTCGGTACCACATTTTCAAATGACGACTTTCAGTGTCAGTTGTTTTTATGCTCTCTTGCACTAGAGCTCGTCATGTTTGAACGATTCCACCAGGATATGATTCTCGCCTATTCCACATCCCGCTTTGCGCACGACATTGTGGCATGTCTGACTCGAATGGATCATGAAAACCCCAGAAACGGGGCCTTAGAGCCTACATTCCTTGTCGAGTATCAAAAAGAAAATGTGTCAGTGGCATTATCAGGGACCTACGCAACGCAGTAGGTACAAAGGAAGGGTAGCTAAATGCCTTGTTCTATTCACGTAGTCCTATTGACAACGACTCAACGCTTGAGAAAAAGGAAGAGTTCTCTCTCAGCCGGTTCGGGTGAGAGAAGACTCTTATAGCTTCCCCTCTTTCTGTCACGTGAAAAGGGTAAGGCAGTGTTAACCGATAGCCTTGTGCTTCAACCGTCCTTTGCCTTATCCTTTTCTTTCTATACCGTCCACCCGATTCGGGTGGAGGGCGTAGAGTACTTGGGGACAACGGTGGGCTCGTGACAGGCATCCTGTGCACGTTCTGCGTCAATCACCACCGTGCATTGACATGGAGGTATTGGGAAGACAACCAAGTGTACGAGCCTACCGGCAGTGAATTGACTATGCTAGGTTTTTCGGTTTACAATGATACCACTAACTGGCTCGCTCAACCACACGTCAACCTACAGACCTCAGCCGGTCGAAAATTGGTCGCCGGCACAAAGTGCGACAGGGTCTGTGATTGGAAATCTCCCAAGTCCACATGAAATTGAAGTGATCTCTTCTGTGTCGTCCCGGCTTTTGCGAGATCATATAGGAAATCGAGGTAAGTTGTGCTTCTTAACATGATCCTACGATGTGCTTGATACGGCTTCTCGATCCAGTCTATCTCGGGAGTCTGGCTCCTGTCTCCATCATTCAGCATTTGAGGCATATCTGCAAACAATCGTTAGGCTCGTCAAGCTTTACCAACTCAACAAGCGATGGGGTCATGATTGAGGACGAAATATTAAACGGTGACCAAATATGTCTACGCATGAGGTCCTCAGCCACCAGCAGAAGAAAGAGCTTCTGCAGATCTTCTTTACTGCCGTATGACACCCCGTTCGGCCTTACACCGTATCTCTTCCAACATCAGCCAGTAGTTGCAAAGCAGGCGAGTACCAAGATTTCCCGAGAAGACTGTGTGATCTCTCACATGTACGTCATCTGTGCTTACTACTTCGCCATCATCCAGACTACCAGACCTTTTTTGACATATCGCCTTCGACCTGATCTAGATCCCTCCTTGTCTCGCCCAGCTATGGCTCTACAGAGGACCCTGCGCCGACCCCAACCATGCAGTTTGAGATTACGCTCTTGGCCAAGAGATGCGAGGACGCTGCTGTCTACATGACCGATACTTGTAACGAAGTTTTGGAACAAAACATGTTACTGGACAACATGTGCCTTGTTCAGTAGGTGATTGCTGGCGAACCGCATAGCCCCAACAGAGTTTTGAACCCATTTTGCAGAGCATTCATTTTTGCGGCTGCCCTAATACTTGGGCTGGTCATGTTCTCACAAACCCAGGCAGAAAAGGACCTCGAAATCGCACCGGAGAATGCGCTAGGGATGATGAGGAAACTTTCCACACAGAGCTTGCAGGCTGAACACTATTCGGGAATTCTGGACAACATGCACAAGGATATCAAAGCCCGACAGCAACAGACAGCTTTGCAAAGGCGCGGGTGCTCAGGTCGACCGGCCAACGAAATAGTCCAACCTTCTCAGGTTCTCGGGGCCTCTTTTCCAGGCCTCGGTCCGTCAAACATCGACAGAGGCGACGGGACACCGTCCATCGATGAACTAGCGAAGACGCTACCGTCACAGAATGGCCTTCTCGGACCACAGAGCTTGTCAGGCACAGGTCTTGACTCTGACACCACTAAATTGGACTGGGATATCCCCTCATATCAATGTCGGGATGATTTCTCAATGATCACTCCAGAATGAGATGCTCGCTCTCGCAGTTTGAATTTTCTCCGTCCTGGACGAAGGACTGCACTCCGACAAGACCCATCCCCCACTTGACAGTTTCAAATTTGCCGATTGTTGAACCTCGCAGATTTCGCTCAAGCAGGAGTAGAGATGCGGATTCGTCCTGTGTGCTATGGAACTATCTGCTGTTGCACTATCTATACACCTGCGAAGCAGCGATGTCGTCTCCTTTACAGAAAGCAGGGCAGACTCAGCCTTGTTGCAATGGTAACCGCGGCTATGGTGGTCCCCTCTACGTCCACTCGGGCGAATTCAAGGCACCGCTAGAATCCCGAATACGTCTAACGACCAATTAGCTGTGGAAATTGGCCGTGACATCCACCGACCGTCGAATGTTTAGTTTCAGGAAGCCCCAGGTTTTGGAAAGAAGCAGTGCACGGATAGTGCAGCTGACAAATCAATGTTTATTCGGCGGCAGTTCTTGATGCGAGCGGTGAAGGCAGAATAAAAGAATTATTTAATCTCTTCGCCGCGCCGCTCCTGGATCAACCTTCAGAACGCCCATATTCAACGCGGCAGAGCGATCTCCCAAGAAGGTTAGACAAGTAAGAATACGTTCAGAATACGCCGTTGGAACGCCCTGTACGCTCGGTACCATGGCGCCACTCAACCTCTACGATACGGCCATCGTCCCCATCATCATCACGCTTCGTAATCTCTCCGGCGTTCTCAAGAAAGGAGAGGCGTTCGCCGATGCCAAGGGCATCCCTCACTCTGAGCTCATCGAAGCTCGCATAGCTCCGGACATGGCGCCGCTTCCCTTCCAAGTCCAGACTGCCTCCAACACCGCTAAATTCCTCGCCGTCCGTGTCGCCGGCGTGGAGAACGTCCCCTGGGAAGACAACGAGAAGACTTTCGAGGAGCTGCAAGCTCGAATCACCAAGACGATTGATTTCCTTGAAGCCGTCAAGCGAGAGGATTTCGATGGCAAGGATGCGAACCACGAGATCGCCTTCCATGGTGTGAAACTTACCGGCCTGGAATATGTTAACCGCTTTGCCTTGTCCAATTTCTATTTCCATGCCGTTACCGTGTATGATATTTTGAGGATGAAGGGCGTCGATATCGGGAAGAAGGACTGGCTGGGCAGGAATTGAAAGAGTGAATGGGTGAAAGGGGGGGATCTAAGTCTGCTGAGACTAGCCGGACATCCCATCGCGCAAGAATTGATCGTCAGCTTAGAAGAGCTCTTGAAATACGGGCACAGTGCTCTTCTGCTGCCATTTGACCACTGCGCGAAGAATTCGCCACAGAGATCTTCGAAAGAAAAGATAAATTCCAAGCAGGTAATAAGAACATTGATATGATCATTGCCTTTCTGCACGCACCTCGTTCTGTCTCAATCATTCACTCACACATCCGCTCCGCGACCAGGTTCCGGACATCAGGCTAGTGCAGCCCTTCAACTCCGGCCTCGCCACTCATGCAGGGAGCAAATTGCAATGGCTCGCGTGCATTTCGCCATCTCACTGATAGTGATGCACATGTTCGAAGCCTGCATGAGGATTTCGTGGCTCTTGACCATCTCCACGCGCTCAATGTCCGGCGCAGGAAGAACATTACCCTCGCCAAACACTGACCTGTACAAAGATAGAACACTCTCCTGCGAGGCCTTGTCGATACCCGCTATGAACATGGGAAGCGGATCGACTAGGGTGTGCTCGAGACCATGCGTGGGATCCTTACGGAGCTGACCCATCACGTCAGATCTCGTTGTCATTGTGTGTGAAGTTGAATATTCTTCAAAGACTAACCTGTGGAGCAATACCGACTCTATGTCCCGAGGCATGAAATCTCTGCAATAGCCTCCTCGTCGTGCCTACTTCTGGAACGGTGCTCGCCATGATAATAGTCGCTTCGGACCTGCCATTAACTGCGCATCGGACGACATCCACAGCTGTCAGAAGATGGTCCATTCGGGCTGCTGTATTGGCACACGCTGCATAAGACCGTGAGAGGGGACCTGCAATGATGATTATCGTCGTCCAACGGAGATCGCTGGGCGACGACGTCCACAGGATGTTTCTTTCCATATTACTTTGTGGAGTCCTTTGGGACTGGGAACATGCGTCGAATATGTACACCGAGTGTTTCTCTGAGATGCTCTCCGCGAGGCAAAGTCCAGAACTTGATCCTATTCCAATGATTCGAACTCGGCATTCTGCCGCGAATGGCGCTCGTGACCAATACCCGGGATCCAGGACGTTTTCCATCATGCGCTAGTTTATAGTTTGCGACACCAGTGGTGTAATCTCGGTTCGTTTCGATATATGGGCCACGGTGAATTTGGTCCATGAACTAAGGTCGCTGGGTCAAGGGGAGCATTTCTTCCTAAACTATTTACATCGAGGAACAGTTGTCCCTCTATCTGTTAATCAAGCTGCGATGCTGCAAACAGGTGACGAGAGTCGAAAACATGATGCGCGGCCTCGCTCCGTTTGTGGTGCGTTTGATTTGCTATGGTGTGGCTCCTCATCCCCTAGTCAGTGAGGGAAGCCCAGATGTGTATAGCATGACGAGTGAATTCTTGTCATGTTTCATGGCCACAAATGATCCATAGAGTGATGAAAACCGTAGCTTCCTTCTCGCTATCCGTCGTACTCCTATTGCTTACCCTCGCACTTTGGTGACGATCCTTGTAATCAGCTCAGGCTATCAAGCTGGGGCATTGTCGCAACGACAAAGTTGGTGGCAAAGCATTTGCATGAAAGTGTCTATCTCGGAGGGCAAGGGAAAGAGAGTCAGAAGGGGCTCGACTGGAGGGAATGGGAGGGGTGCCAAGGCGCCTGGTGGAGCCACGTGACAATCCTCGCAATTTCGACGATCCCACACATTTTTGAACCAACCTCGCACCTCTGTCACCAGGTCTCGCACACGCCGTCGCACTCCCGCACTGACCTCGCTGACCCTCGCGCTATTCTCGCTGCCTTACGCATACTCCTTACAGTCTTCTCGCTGTTTTTTCGCACTTAGGCCGCTTACTCTCGCACTTCAGGTACCATCTCTGGCACTCGCCGTCGCACCGGCGCACTGGCCTCTCTATCCATCGCAATAACCTTGCCGCCTTTCGCACTCTCCTTACACTCTTCTTGCACTCTCTCGCGCTTGCTGTCGCACTATCGCACTTATATCGTTCATCCACAGCCCACCCCCTATTTCTGGTAGCCTTGTCACGTGACGGTGTGAGCGCCATATTCAGCCGACATGCTCAAGACTCAGCTGTGATGTGACTTGGTATTACGAACTGCATTTGCCTGATACATTGACTTTTCCTTCGCTGGTATCGTTTAGAGGGCCAAGGGCGATGTACTTTGGCCAAGAGCCATTGCAAAGCTCTTTGTCAGCATCCTTTTGAATATGAGACAGAAGATGCCAATCCGAGCCGTGAATAACTCCCCAACGCGAAAGCCTATGGAAATCTAGTGAATGAGCTGTCCACAAAGCCCGTGAAGGTCTGAAGTTGAGCTCGCTTACCGTGTGCGGAACTGGTATGTCGAAGTGCTTGGCATGTAAGCACCAAACGCATGGCCGGACGACCAAGCTAGGATTAGCTGATTCAAGACGAGCATTTGCCATTCGAGGATAGCCGAGTCCTCGGTACGGGATCCGCTTTTAGAACGAACGTACTTCCCGTTCTGACACAGCCAACATATCTTGTTGCCGCACCTCATTTGCCACCACTGAGCCGCCGTGTCATCCAAACAAAGACGTTGTCCCAACGAGGGAGTGCGGTACTCACTGTCGACGGCTTTGGAAGTCACAGGATGCCTATTCCAGGTCTAAGTGAAATCTCAAAATGGCTGGTTGAGGGCAGCCTTCTGCTGTGAAGATGTGGCGCGCGAGCTTATTCTGCAGGTATAGACTGGCCACCGCTCTTGCGGTGAGCCTTGGCCTGCTTTGAAATATTTCTGGGGCCAGCGACTGTGCTCTGGGTAAAAAGGCCGCGACGTGGCCTAGAACGGCATATAAAAGTGATACAGCCCATCCCAGGACGTCGATTGAGCAACTCGGCTTTTTAAGAAGGCAAGCTCTCAAAAGCAGCCGCAACGATATCCCCACTCTCGTAGCTCGGCAGAGACACTCAACATGTCATCGCCAAAGACAGACCGCAACACCCCGCCCGGAATCAAGGATCAAAAACGGCGCACGATTGTCAATAAAAACACAGGAGAAACAATCACGTGGACAACATATGGATATGAAAACGGAGGAAGAGAAGCCAATGCCGTCCTCGTGTGCAAACCAGGGGGCGGTCCGCCACTACACTACCACACCAGCTATGCCGAGCGGTTCCAGGCGGTGGAAGGCAATCTGGGTGTGATTCTGGGCAACAGAGAACCGTTCCATTTGAAGCCGGGTGAATCAGCCGATATTCCCATTGGCACAAGCCACCGATTCTTCAATGATGGAGACAAGGAAGTCACCTTCAAGGGTTTTGTCCTGCCCGCGCACGCAGGTTTTGAAAGGAGCCTGTACATCCTCTTTGGCCTGAACGAGGATGGGCTGGCGGATCCGAAGACGGGCATGCCGCACAGTATCTTGCATACAGCTCTGATTGGGGAGATGAGTGATATGAGGTTTCCGGGCTTCCAGGGAGGATTGATGAATTATGTCGGCAAGATTCTAGCAATGTATGCGAGATGGACTGGCGTTGAGGAAGAGTTGCTGAGGAAGTACTGGGATTGATTCTATTCGGGGACGAGTATCAGGAGCAAGCTTGGAGAGATGGTTATCGAGTGCAGGAGTACAACGGCGAGTTCGAGACTACCATAGCGAGTGCGAGGGACAGCGATGTGAGTTGCGGTGGTGAGAGGGAGGAAAGTGGTTGTAAAAGTGGCACACGCTACGGGAGCCTTGGCGCGTAGGCGCGGAGCACTTTTTTCTCTGCTCCAAGTTTCGCTTGGCATGTTTGCCTCCAAATGTTCCGCAGCCCATCATTTCCAATTATCCAGGCGACTTCACCGCGGCAATGGATCGGTTGACAGAGCATGCCAGGGGCCCAAAAGTCGCTTGATCTACGCTTGTTCTTTTGTCTCGCTAGATCTCCTTCCAGAGATCGTTCACCATGTCCGAAAAAGCCTCTCCGTCCCTGGCAGCTGTAGCGGTTTCTTCCCTCATACTTGGCCTTCTGGCAGGCTACTTTATCGGTCAAGGCTCTAGTATTGGCGTCTTTGGCGGCACTGGGAATGCGAAGCAAGTTAGGAAAAGCTGGCCAAACAGCTATGATGTCAAAATCCACGCCGACTCGAGCGACGACCAGGCGGACGACGAGGACGAAGCGGACGACGAAGACGAAGATGATGGGAAGGAGCTAAACGATTTCAAGGGCTCCACAGAGGAGGTGAAGCTCGTCTTAGTAGTGAGGACGGACCTAGGCATGGGCAAAGGTAAGGAGATCTGGGAATCAGTCTACGAGTTGCTTCGACTGAACCTCTATCGCAGGCAAGATCGCAGCTCAATGCTCCCACGCTACTCTCGCATGTTACAAATACCTCCTCAACCACGTCACGTCGGCTCCTTTACTGAAACGTTGGGAATGGGGAGGACAGCCGAAAATTGCAGTGCAAGTCAAGTCCGAAGAGGAATTGGAGACGCTACAAGCACAGGCAATCAGCTTGGGGCTGTGCGCGAGGATCATACACGACGCCGGAAGGACACAAATTGCTGCCGGCAGCGCCACGGTACTGGGTGTTCTCGGTCCTAAAAGTGTGGTCGATCAAGTCACCGGTCACTTGAAACTATTATGATTGCAAGGATCAATGGGAAAGGCGTTGCTGTGAATATCACCGCATGAGCTACGAAGACGAAAGCCTCAAAATTTGCCGGTCATTTCACAAACATCCAATGTCACCCCCTCAACACGAAACCCACAAGAGCAAAAGGTCGAGCAGCTCCTATCCCCTGAGATCATGACGACATTAGATGTACGTCTCCCTCGTCCCCTTCTCATTGCTTCTATATATCGCATCAATCATTTTGTGCCTGACCAAGGCGTCTTCAAAAGTGGTCACGGTCCCGGATCCAGTACCAGCGAACGCATCCCAAGCTTTGCCGACATTGTAGGCAAAATCGGAGGCGACTTCAACCTTGACCTCCTCTGGTTGTGGGCCTCGTCCGTCATTGAACGATTTGAACGATCCCTCTTCCTCTTCCCTCACGAACTCCAATTTGGGGTGGAACATCTCGACAAGTCCACTGGCTGCTTCAAGAATCAGGCTGCCTTTGGTTCCGTTGATTTCCCAATAGAAGTCCTTGCCCGTCAGGGAGTGACCGCCTTGGTACACGACCGTCGCCACACCTCCCCGCGCCAGAGACCCTGTCACGCTCATATAATCATGGCAGGTCTTGTCGCCGATTTTAAGCGTTTGGCCAGAAGTCGGGTCGATTAGGGGCATCTTTGGTCGGTGATTCGCCAGAGTGGCTTGCAAATCTTTGAATTCCCCAAGCACGAAGCAAAGTGCATCGATCGCATGCATGGCAGGGATGGTGACCAGGTTTGCGCCAGAGTCGATGGACAATTCGTATTCGAGAGGTGCGGGCATAACTCGACCCATTACCACACCTGAGCCGAGCATCTTCAACATCCCGAAAGTCAGAGTCGTCCTTTAAGCGTTTCACAATGTCTAACGAATGGGAAAGTATTACCGTCGTCCCTAGGATATCGCCCAATACACCTGAAGCCACCATTTCCTTCGCCTTGCGGATACTTGGATTCTGACGAGCCTGAAGCCCGATCATGGTCTTCACTTTCTGCGTCTCCGCAAGAGCGGTGAGCTCCTCTGCTTCTCTCAGGTTTGCGCCAAGGGGCCATTCGACGAAGACGTCTTTTTTGGCCTCGAGCGCGGGCCTCGCTAGTCCGTAATGCGTTGGAGTCTTGACGGAAACAACGACCATATCGACGTTCGGATCGCGGACCAGAGATTCCACATCGCCATAACAGGCAACGTCGCCAGGGAGGCTGTACTTCTGAACGGCCCTTTCCGCGGCGGCTTTGCTGCTGTTTTGAAGAGCCGTGATCTGGTAGTGCGAGGATTGCAGCAGATAAGGCAAATGAGAACCAGCGGCCCAGGAGCTATTTCAGAAAGGAATCTGTCAGTGAAGATGTTCCCGTGAAAAGGGAAGGAGAGGGGAGTGGGGGAAAACCGTCCTCACTCACCCTTCAGCAGAAAGCCCAATCACGCCTAACCTGATGGGTGCCATTGCTCCAGAAAGTACGTAGTAACTGTCAAGAATCTTCCAGCGGTGTTTTTGGCTAGCAGGTGCGATCTCATGTGCTGCGCGTGGAGGAATCCGACTGTTGGCTCTGCTACATATATGTATGTCTTTTTATATGCGTGTGTTCTTTGACACCGACCATTCCTCCCATCCCACCCATTGATATGCTTCTATATTATGTAACGATGCATCTTAGCGATCAACATGCACGTATGCACGTAGGTGTGCAATGTACAGTATGCAAGCACCAAGGGAATCAATCCCCTTCCCTAAATGTGTCTGGCCGTATTTGCTGACACGAGTGTGTGTGGTGTGGCGTTCACTGGTCCCGCTACACGAAACCACTTAATTGTCAAACATCGTCGCCAAGATGGGCCCAGCGATCTAATGAAGAGCGATGGATTGCGCCACCGTTTGGTAATAGGGGGCAGCGAAGGGTGAACCAGGAACAGAATGGTATTCGAGCGTCCGTCACGGGCCAAGGACGGCTTATAAATCATTTGGCGCTGCCCGCGTAATATTTCATCAATGTTGCATAACGTTGACAGTAACATGACGTCGCTGTGAATCGGTCCTCGCCATGGCGCCGCTCTGTGGTGGTTCTATGTGTAGGGGGAAAGGCAGAAAAAGACGAAGATACACAGACAGAGAGAGGGGGAAGGGGGAGGGGAGGGGAAAACTTGGTAGAGGCTCTGAGGAGGGCCCTTTACAAAGTCGGACCACCAATATCGGAACAAGCCATGTCACTTCATTATTCTTATTAAATTTTTGGTTTTCGGTTTATTCTTCCCCGGCGGTGGCATTTTCCTTCTAAGTGTAACGATTGCTCGCGGCTATTTTTATTTTGACTGCATTGCCGAGAGATATAACAACATCAGCCCCCAGTGGTAGGACAGACGGATCTCCTTAGATCTCTCTCATTTATACTTCCTTGCCAGTTCCTCGCTCCGCCTCTGGTACTTCTCTCGGTAAGTGTTCAACAGGTCGAACGAGATCTTGGACCCGCCGCAGACGACAATCACGACCTTGGCGTCGGGCCTGAATCCCTTCAGCACCCTCTTCAACCGCCCGTCGTATGCGAGAGCAATGCTCACCCCACAGGCCGGCTCCACCAGGATCCTCTCGTCGTCCAGAAATCGCCAGCAGGCCGCGCAGGCCTCTGCGTCTTCGAGCACCACCGACGTGACGGCCGGTCGTTGGGCTTGCTTGAACGTGTCCTCCGCCACGCGGATGGCGCCCAGGGACGTGGCCACGGACGTGATACCGGGCAAAGTGACCAGTTCCTTCTTTTGGAGGGACTGCGCCAGCGAATCCGCGCCAAGCGTCTCCACTGGCAGCACCTGGACCTGGTCGGACCATCCGACGCGGTCGAGGCCGTGCATGATGCCGGAAAACAATCCGCCGCCACCCACGGAGCAGACAATGCCATCCGGCCTCTCTCCGTTGGGCATCTGCTTCTTGATCTCCTCAACCATCGTCCCCGCTCCCTCCCAGATGTATGGATGGTCAAAGGGATGGATATAAATTCCCTTCTCCCCCTTCGCTTCCGCGGCGGGGATGACGACTTCCCTGAGATGCTGGTCCGCGAAGAACCAGCTGTCGCCATGCGAAATCACTTCGCTAGCCCCCGCCGCTCGTAACTTTGCAATCGTAGCTTTGTCGGTGCTGGTGGGGACCACGACGGACGACGCGTAGCCGAGCGACATCGCGGCCGTGACGCACGCGAGGCCCGCATTGCCTCCTGACGACGAGTAGAAGTGTAATGGTCGGTCGTCCGACGCCAACTCTGACTGTTCGCGAATGCTTTTCAGCATCAAATTGCCGATGCCCCGAGACTTGAACGACGACGAGGGCTGTAGATTTTCGAGCTTGAGAAAGATGCGGCTGGTCCAACAATGGTCAGCAAAAAGGCGTTGGTAGAAATTGTCTTCTGAGGGGTTGTGGGAAAGGGTTCGTTCTTACCAGCCGGCGATTTTGGACAGGACTGCAGATTCGAGCAGGGGCGTCTCGATCCACGGCTGCTTGACGCGAGGCATGGCATCCGCCTCGTATTGATTCCTTTCTATCATCGCGCTCCCGTATATCAAACGTTCGAGCCTCTTCCCCAACCAATATTATTCCACACCAGGTATTTGATCAGGTAAAGAAGGGACGGACACAAGGTATTCCACTCCTAGGTTCCTCGGCCAGTGTGTCGATGTCCAAAACCCACGACAACAATAACAAAAACAACAACAAGTAAGAGAATAAGAGGGAAGGGCAAAATGGGAGGGGTGGCTATCGACGGCCAGCACCGGAAGTTGTCGGTTTTGGAGACTTTTGAATTTTGAATTCCCTGATCGACGCACGCGGCCTCGAGATCCACGCCTTGTTACAACGACTGGCGCCCCGTTGGTGCCGTAGGATTCGATGATCTAAAAATTACCTGATGCTTTGTCGGAGAAAAAGCGGGGGGCCTCACCAGCCCTTTGCCTGGTGAAGCCTGCGAGCCTGGTTTTTGCTCAGGCTGAGCCTTGTGACCTTTACGTTGGCCGAATCAAGAGATAGTGAGGGGTTTGAAGGGAGACCCCGTGCCCTTCCTTACCGGTAGTAGTGATGTGATTGTGATTCTTTCTCATCGGGGATGAAAAAGGATTTTTGAAAAGACCAGCCCTTTATTCTGTCCTGGCATTTGCCAAGTCGTCGAGCTTTGATTGGCTAGCCTTGCCATGGCGGCGACAGATTTCCACGAGGCTGCATTTCCCGCGACAATTCTTTTATCCTTCTCTGAGCACCGTCAAGGCACTCCATCCTCAACGAAGACAAGTAAAGGCATCGCTCTTCAGAAAAGAGTGGTCTATCCATGGCCCAGCTCGACAATGGAGGAAATCCTCCAAATAGACTCGCATTCTGCACCCTGGGCATGTTCATAATCGGTCTGTTCATTCCCCTCCCCCCGTCTATTCCCCCTGTCTCAAGCTGACCACGACTTGGCGCGGTGCAGACAAAATCGAATATCTCAGCAACACGCAAGCTCCCCAGGACAGAATCATAGGCGGCGCCGGCACATATGCGGCGCTCGGCGCACGACTCGCCGCTGGCAGCCGCCACGCCGCGTCGGTGGGCTGGATCGTGGACATGGGCTCCGACTTCCCAGGGGAGTTCAAGTCCTTGATCGAGGCGTGGCGCACGAGTTGCGTGTTGCGATTCGACGGGACTCGGTTGACGACCACGGCGTGGAACGGGTACGGGGACAATGAATATCGGGCGTTCAAATATCTGACCCCCAAACTACGCCTCAATCAAGACTCCCTGTCCGACGACCAGCTTCTCGCGCGCTCTTTCCACATGGTCTGCTCGCCGTCGCGGTGTATATCGCTCGTGCGTGGGATTTTGGATCGGCGGCGGAGACTTCTTCAACATACAGCCAGAGATTCGGCTGGAGGTCGAGCGGCAGCAGAGGCTGATAGACCAGTCTTTGTGTGGGAACCGATACCGGACCTGTGCACGCCGGACGAATTGTCGCGGCTGCGTGAGGCGGCGGGATATGTCGACGTGGTGAGTCCGAATGCGGACGAGTTCGAGTCGTTTTTCAGGGAAATGCCGGGGTATTCGTCACGGGAACTCATGGTTGAGAACCTACTTGGTCTGGCCTCACGAAATGGAGAGCAGAAACTACCATTGCGGACGGCATTGGTCGTCAGAGAAGGTGCACAGGGATGTACCACGTATGTCGGGAGCACAAAAGGTCTACATCTGCGAGCATATCATCAGAGTAGAGAAAAGGTCGTGGATCCTACAGGTGGGGGAAATACGTTCTTGGGAGCCCTGGCGATCGGCATGACTGGAATCACCACCCCTGGAGAGGGCATTCTCAAAGATCTAGACGTCCTCAAGGAGTCTGTCTTTTGCGACAAGAGGCTTCTGCTCGGACTGGTTCATGCAACGATTGCAGCTGGATATGCAATTGAGCAGATTGGCATGCCTAGGGTGTCGACGGAAGATGGTGACTGTTGGAACGGAGAGGCGTATCGCGAGCGTTTTCGTAAGTACATAAAAAGAGAGAGGGAACACATAATTGTCCAACTCTGAAGCCCATGCAGTTGAACATTGATAGTGCAATTTTTTTGGCGCGGTCCACATTATAAAGTCTCTCAAGCATCAGGGGTTCGTCAGTGGTGAGCTTGTATTAGCCACTCCTGCAGGATTGCCCGACTGAGGCAATGGACCTCGTCTTTTCGCCGTGTCGAGATATGTACACCTGTAGAACTGTTGTTTCCTGCTTTGCTAAATTTTGATGCTCAGGAAATGAGCCAAAGGGTGTCTCCTCTTTCATTGTTTTCTCTGTCCTCCACCAACTTCGCAGAGTCGTGATAGTCCAGCTGAATCTGCGCCGAGCAGCAGTGTTGTGGCAGTATGTACAAGGGAGTGTTGTTCAAGGTAAAGCGGTTGTCAAGTTCGGTTGAGATTCGATCTAGTTTCGTAGGGTAATTGTCGAGACGTACGATGGCTCATTGCCCCTTCTGCGCCTTTTCGTGCTCGACTATCTGTCTGCTCCAACTGTAAAACTGTCAGTATAACCCTTTTGCACACGTTGAAGAGGTCCACAAGTTATTTCTAACGCAATTTTGATAATGTCGCATTTTTTGCACCATCATGTCTTTTTGGCCTCCTCTTCGGCATTACGCGCTCACACTCAACAACCACTCGTGCCGGGGATGACTTACTACCGGCTCGGGAAAAACACATCCTTCTCTGGCATCTTATTCCTGAATTCTCTCTCGGCCGAAACCCTCCAAGCAAGCCCCGCGCACGCAGCAATGACCACGCCCATGACCAACGTGTTCGCTCGCCAGTTGTGAGGTTGTGCATACCATCCACCAGCGGGGGACCAGACGTGTTTAGGGTACGGTACTTTGCCGCCTCCGCCCATTGTTGTTGTTGTTGTGAGGCTAGTGGGGTCCGAGGCAAGGATGGGGATAGAAAGGGGGCCTGGAGGATGAGGAGGCAGTTTGAGACTGTGATGACCTTGGGAACACACAGAGGACCTGGAAGACGATACAATTGAGGTGCAGTTTGGAAGTTGAACTGCGATTGGCTGATCGAGAGCTTGCCTCGGCACACCTTCTATCTTCGAAGCTCGAGACGTCTCGACGTTTCTTGCTTTGTATCTACCACCAAACGCGCCTCCTCGCCATGCCCGGTTTCTATCTACAACTTTACCACTATTTTGCTTGCAGATACTCCTTTTTTCAGCTTGTCAATCCCCATTTGAATGCAGTCCAGTCCTTGACCAACCACATTGGCACGGGGCGCAGGTTTGAACTGGCCGCTCGCCAATGCCGCTGGGAGAAAGTCTCTCCAAAGAACTTTGCCAACGTCTGTACCGGGGACCATTGCTGCGATCACTAATACTATGTCAGTGAAATTGCTTCAATCCAGGCTGCATACTCCCTACTTTGTTTGCAGGTGACATTCTTCGGAAGGTGTGCGGGCGGCTCCTCCACTGTAGCGATGAACCCACCGCCGGTCCGTGACAAAATTTCGGCAATTTTATGAGTGCTTTCTTTGGATCCAAATGCTCGAGTCTTTGTTAGTTTGTTCGAATACCGGTCTTGATATCTATTTAGACTTACCGTCGAACGCACCAACCATCTTGCAGCTCTGCACTCTGGCCGCCAGTTTCTCAACGATATCTTTATCCGCATGATCGAATACTGCCGTTGCCCCCAAGGACTTGCAATAATCAAAGTTCGTTGGAGACGCCGTAGCAATAACATCAAACCCAGACGCAGTGGCAAGCTGAATCACCGCACTGCCTACACTTGAACTGCCGCTCCAGACAAGGAGGGTCTGGTCAGTATTCCCGTAGGCGCTTTGGGGTAGCTGAAGCGCCAAGTGTCCATCCTGATAAAGCCCTCCAACTGCCGTCGAGAACGCAAGAGGTATGACAGCTGCGTCCTCGTAGCTGAGTGTCTGCGGAATAGGAGCCGCGGCGTGTGCTTGGACGATTGTATAGGTTTGAAACCCCCCATTCTCTGGTTTCCCGGTGAGCATTCCCAAGGCTTGCGCTATGACACGCGCCCCGGGCTTGAATTCGGTCACTTCCTCACCCACTTCAACCACCTCTCCAGCAATGTCGTGTCCAAGGATTGTCGGCCATTGTTGGACGAATATTCCCAAATCTTGGATTATCGCATCAATCGGGTTTATGGCGACGGCATGATTTTTGACCAGCATCTCGCCGACAGCAGGCTTTCGAACGCTCGCTAGTCCCACTCTGAGACTTTGTCTTGGGCCATCGAGGAATGCTGCACTATTCTCGAGCGACATTTTCCGGGCTCACACTTTTGAATCGAGGTGGAAGAGACTGGCCTGCTGAATGCTGCTAAAATAGGCACCAGCAGTTGAGGGCATCGTACGGAAGATCAGATGTCAACTCATCGTGGACCGCCAAGACCTTAAAATAGCCGGGGTTGAGACGTTATGCTCCGAGTCGGGTGTGACCCTGAGAGGGCCGGAGATACCTAATGCTCCGGTTACACTCACTATTTCCTCAGCCTATTCGCCCCGGGCCATTTCCTTACGCACGGACCTCTGGTAAGGAAAGTTACCTATTTGAGAAATGGTTCGATTTCAGGAAATATCCCGAAAAAGGCAACTCGGAGTTAATCGCGATTCAAACGCCCAAGACCGTGTCCCTGGCGTCTCCCAGTGACTTTCCGGTCAGTCTTTTGCAGCCATCTCAGCTTCAAAAGTCGAATGACCCCATCGGTGTTGCGCCTTCCTGGATGTACTGATCGAGGATGCTCTGCGAAAGCTGTTAAGCAACGACGAAGAACGAGAGGGGAAAGAGTACCCGGAACTTACCCAATCGACCACGTCTGAATCGGCAAAGATCACATCCAGAAGTTCCTGCGATGCCTGATCCCGGGGCGTCGAGTGCCCATTGTTTGATATCGTGATCGCGGACACATCCAACAGCAGGGCTTCACCTGCTAATCCATTCCTGCTGGCGTTTGCAATACCTACGCCACCCAAGCTTACCTCCGACAACGGCTGAGATATGTCGGTGCTTGCACTGTGAGTTCCATTCGATTCTTCCTTCTTTTGGGAGCCTGGCCTAGGTATCTTTGAGAGCATGATTGCAAGAATGTTTGATGCTCTCCTCGCATCTGACGAGATTGAATTCCGCGATTGCCAAATGTCATGTGAGATTTTCAGCGCATCATACTTCATCCGTTGAGCACCCAAGTCTTGGGCTGACCAGAGTTTTGTACTACTGTGCCGATGGGATTCGTACAAGTCAAGGCAGGTGATCATGGCCGCAAGAAGGAAGTCGTGATTCGCTAGATTCGACGACGTCCATTGATCGTGGTTCAATTGACCTCCAGGCTGGGCTGCTTGGTTAACCTCCGCTTGGTATTGCAACACTCGAAGGCTCGCAGTGGTGCAGGCATTCCGCGAGTATTCAAAGGCAGGGTTCAGCCTATTATGGCTCAGATACCTCCTATGAAGGATCATCATGGCCTTCTGATAGACCAGCTCAAGGCTGAGACGGTGCATTATGATATGAATCTCGTCGGTGACAGAAGAACTGAGAGGCTTCCATTCAAGGCTCGGCGGTATCTCTGCGCGAACTTTGAGGAGCTCGCCATCTAGGCTCAAGACATCTGCATAGGCTGGAACTCTTGGTGACAGGGCTTGCCGCGCCACCTTCCTGAACACCTGCGATAGGTGGCCCTTATAACAGTAGTAAAGCATCGGTGTTGGATCCGTGAGAGGTCGCGACGGCGGAATTGCCGTGGAGTCTTCGTCAAAGTCTTCATCGAACAGGTTGCCGGGAGGTGCGGTGTCACAGACCTCTTCATGGATGATGGCCGGGAGTCCTGCCTGGAAGGAGAGAAGGAGTTCAAAGGTCTGGACCGTGGAGAATGTCCTCCGACGCATTTCGCCTTCAAACGGGGAAATGTGAGAGAAATGACTCGGGTCTCGATGATATCCCATCCTCAAAGCGAGACGAGCAGCCACGCCCATCAACAGCCATGGCTCAGTCTCGGAGTCATGCTGCTGGAAGAACCTGGAAATGGCATAGAGCATCACAGCTTCGACACTGTAGGGTCGCGCCTTTTGATAATGCCCAGCTACCAAAGCTCGACCTGCATTCATCAAGAACAGATTCGAAGCTTCTTTGAGTGACGGAAAGTAATCTTGCTCCTCGGGCCGTGCGATTCGAGCGCCGAGGTGTAGGGACGAAAAGAGCATCGAAATCCAAAGAAAAGAAACTGAGGCGGGATTTTTCCAGAATGATTCGTACTGCCAAGCATCAGCGTCCCCATTATCTCTCGATGTAACGACTCTGGTGTCAGATCTACCTCTCGTAAGAATTTTCGTTTGTGGATGAATGCTGTCATGATGAGCCAAACCTCCACGCCAGCACCGGGAGGAGATCTTACATATGTGTAGATATCGTGCATTAAACTGAACTGAAAGTAGTTTGTCTACCACAGGCCTGGGAGGCAACGAATTGCAAACCTCAGCCAGGGTCAGAGGCTGCGAATTGGAGAGGAGGATATCAGGGTCATCTCCGTAATTTAAGAAGTCTCCATTCTCTGTCTCATTTGGCTCCGGTGCAAGACAGTCCTGAATATCTTTGATCTGTTCATGGTTAAGGTGGAGGGCCGACAGGGGGGAGCGAGACGTGAACAAACGTTTTCTAAAATTGCAGCCCAATGAGTAGCCCCAAGGTATTTGGTCTCGATACCTCTGATGTCGAGATGGCCATTGGGAGGCTGATCTGACGCCAGCGAGGAAGAACCGGCCATTGATGGTCCTGAAGCTGTGGCGGGATCTGCGCTTGTCGGTCCAGTGCGCAGGCTCTCGTCGCAAGACGGAGGGGTCGCCCGACTATCTTGCACAGTCGGTCCTTGATTTGCCTGCATCAACATAGTCACCATTTCTTCGAGCTTCTGCAGTCGAGACTGGGCCTTGGAGATGTTGTCTTCATTGCTGAGGCTACCGTTGTGGTCGGGAGCAGAGATGCCCAAAGAATTTCCCTGGAAGCCATTTGCTTGATGCTTGCGTTTGCCTACTTGGCTGGATCGTTTAGAAGAGGTTGGTTTTGCGATCCGAAAGACCGTCTGGTACTGGGAGAGATCAGGCATGCCTAGCAGCTCTGCAGCAAGCCCAAACCAAAGCACCTATTGGAAACAACGAGCGAATGAACTGGTGGAATGTGAAAGACAGAACGGAGGACAGTGTCCGAGGTACGGAGTAGCTGATGTTGGGACACACAAGCGACCTCTGGTGGTTTACATGATTTGCCGTAGTCTGCCAATTGCTGCAGTTAACGAGTGTCCAAGGAGCGTCTGAACTCACCCGTCGCATTGATTCAAACTCTCTCGCACTCCCTCGCACTTCGTCTCTCACCTATGATTTTGATTTAAATCTCATCACAAACTCATGCGAGGTAAGCAATTGGAAAGCGCAGTAGTCACAGAAGGTCTTGTGATTAAATTTTGCTAAAGGAGTGTCTATCAAACCAGAACAGAGAACGCCAGTCGCTAATGCTAATAGGAAAACAAAAACACCAATCGCTATGCAATTCAAATAACAAAGACCTATCCATGCCGTCAATTCTCAGCAACGTACGCCACCTCTTCCTCGGATATCAGCCTCCCATCATCGAGTAGCCCCTTGCTCTCCATCACTCAGATACCTTTACAACTTTTGGGCAACAAAGGTAGGGTCGCAGATAATTTCGCCGACCTCGCTGGGGGTTTGCAGGGTCCACGCACCCTTGTGGGCATCAGAGAAGGTATTGTCCTTGTTATCGCCCCGGAGGACAGTCAAAGGGTTGCCATAGATGTCGAGGATCTGGCATCGGTAATCCTGCTTCTGGACCAATGACCCGACCCGGAGCTCGACGGTTTCGAAGGGACCGCTCGTGGCAACAGGGGCCGACTCGGCGCGGTATCCAGCGGGGAGGACTGTCTGCGAGCCGGTCTCGGTGGATTGACTTTCGAGAACAACGCGCAAGTTGAGCTCATCAGAGGTGGGGTCGATCTTGACAAAGGTAGGGTCGCAAATCACCTCGCTGACATAGCTGGCCTCGCGGAAGGTCCAGGCACCCTTGTCGGCGTCAGAGAAGGTGATGTCGATGTTCTCGCCGCGAGTTGCCACAATCGGGTAGCCGTAGTTGTCAAGGGCCTGGCAACGAAGATCCTTGTTCTGGACATCCGTGCCGAGTCGGATCTCGATCGAGTTGAAGGGGCAACTGATGGCCGGAGCAGCCATGTCTCTGACGGTTGATTCGAGGGTAACCTGGGCGCCGGTTTCTCCCCCATCGCTCAGACCGACGGTAACCTTGTCGTCATAGTAGCGACGACTGTGAGGGGCAGCCAGGGCGCCGGAAGCGGCAAGAAGAGAAAGAACAACGGCCTTGGAATGCATTTTTGGATATGTTATTTGCGTTGGCGCTTTTGGAATTTTTGGTGTTTTCTTATTGAAAGGGTAAAGAGTGTCGAGCAGTTGGCCCAAAAGACAAAGGAAACAAGGAAAGAAAAAGAAAAGGAAAGAAAGGCTGTAAGTTGGTTGATTGTTGGTTATGTGTTGTATGATGGGGAGAAGATTACCGAGTGGTAGGAATTCATGCCATCTTTATACCCACTCCATCTCACTGCTCGGGCTCCCAAGACAGTGTCGTTATTCCGTGCCTACAAAGCAGACGGTGAACCACTATCAGCAGTATCCACCAGGTGAATTACACACCCGGCCCAATCGAGAAATGCGCTTTTACTGCGCCTGGAATGAAGCAGCGTGACAAAGCACTCGCCAAGGCGACTATATCCATTGGCTCGATGGCGAGCTGGGTATAGCCATGCAGGACCATACTCCAGTTACAGCAGAGGGACCCAAATCACCCGAAAGAGACCGAATCTGCCATTAGCCCACACCTGCCCACGTTACGTAGCGCAACATGGCGCCGGCCAAGGTTTCCACTCGGTAGGTCTTGGCTTCTAGAAGTGCTTACTATATCACTACTCCCAATAATAGACACCGAGATGGCCAAAATATTAAATCAGCGGGAAAGGCCAGAAAGGCCAAGCAATTGGACAAGCCTTGCGGAAGCCAAGAAAACCCCCCCCACCGAGGATTCTGGCGAGCAAGTTCTAATGAAGCTACCGAGTACAGAGGAGTCTATGCGTAAATAGAGGGTCACAAATCGTCTCGGAACCGCGGAAGGTAGTATGTACCTCAATGCACAGGACGAGCAAGGATTCTTCCTCGGGTAGTATTCGACCATATCCCAAAACAGGAGATATGTACTTGCCCACGGTCGTTCGGAATAATCCTTCTTAGTTGCGCCTCGTTCCACCTTCGATCACTTCTATGAGACGCTCGGCGCCGCCGACGCGGCTGTTGCTGTCCTTCTCACCACCGATTTCAAATTGAATGAATGTCAGCTTCACCGCCATATGCTTTTGTGCACTTGCACCCAGTCATCAAATGTTATCGGCGGTCGCCCCGTCACTTTTTCAACATCATTGTTCATTCTCTCCTCGGTCCCTTGCGCCGTCATAGTTTCCAATAGAGTCAGCAATGCGGCATAATGTTCGGGACAGCCAGCCTCGATGTATCTCTGAACGTTGTCCTCGGCAGATAGCCTGACATGGTCAATCTTGCGCCCTAAGCCATTGCTTAGTTTTACAGCGATCTGCTCCTGTAATCAGCCTGGGCCTATCGCTGGAGCTGGCCTGCTGCCGGATCGGATCGCCTTTACCTCGTCGTAACTCAACAGTTCGGGTCCTAACAGTCGGTAATCGCAACGCTGCGGGGCCTTGTCGGTTAGTGCGCGAAAGGCCACTGCTGCGATGTCAGTGGCACTAATGAACGGAGCCTTGCCATCCCCGCAAGCTGTATAGAGCTTGTTCTCGTTCTTGATTGTGGTCAGATGTTCCTGCTCTGACATCCTCTCTGTGTCGCTTACCATTAGCGAGCTAACGAAAGTATAGCAGGGTCAGGACAGAACTCCTTGAACTCACCCATAAACCAAGTCGCACGAACCACACAGTATTCCACCCCAATATCAATCAAGTGCTGCCAAACTTTGCCAACATGGTGACTGCCCTTCTCAACCGAGTTACCCGCCAAGAGAACAAATCGCTTGACTTGATGCTTTTCAACTGCAAGATCGATGAAGGCGTTCATTGGAGGTGCAGGGTCAGGTATCTCCGGGGAGACGAGGTAGACTGCAGATATCTTTTCCTGGTCCGGGAAGCGATACTTGAAAGGGTCGTCATAACTTGAAGGGTTTAACCAGTCGAACTTGACCGCGGGCATTCCCTCTGGCGCCGCAGCTTGACCTCGACGAGAAGCTAGTAAGAAGGGCACTTTTGCATCTTGCAGGAGGGAAGCGACGCGGATAGAGGTCTTACCCGTACCGCCAGTGAGAAGGATGGCCATGATGATTGTCTGTCGACTTTGCAAGTGTCACCGGTTCTTTCAGCGCGGCAGTGATACACACTTATATGCCCCGTTTTCGCACATGACGGCGTTTGCAGTGGCCATAATCTTGATATCAGCCTACCCCCTAGGGAAGTCAACTCTCGAGGATGAATACCTCTTCCGGCTATGATGTTTGTACAGGGTAATAGAATCTAGATCATGTTCTGGTAAAGGAAGGACACGGACTTAACAAAAACATTTCCTCTTCGGGATTGGTTGCCAAGCCTCGCGCTGATTGGACACTTATTCTCCAACTGATTTTCCTTCGCGTCCAACTGTCAATGGTCTCGTGTCGCAGGTGAAAAAAGTCTCAGACCATCGAATCCGCTGTTCACCGGCGCTCATTTATCTCTTGGGTTTCCCTATCCAGCGACCTACTCGGGGGCATTGCAAATCACTGAAAAGTCTCCGAAGAGCTCGTTTAGCTCTCATGAAGAGGCTGAAGCTCCTGAGATGGAGCGGCACCGTACTCTCACCCCGAACGAGACCAGAACTCCTTCAACATCAACCTCGCCTTCTCCGGCGCTTCCAAGCGACCGCTTCAGCCCCTTCAGATCTCGAAAATGAATCCCTGCATAAGCCAACAGATGGACCGTATCTCTCGGAGGAAGAGCTTATGAAGCTACCGTCACCTCCGGTCGCCGCAGCAAGGACGTCCGCGAAACTAGCTGCCTTACATGCTCGACTCGCATTACCCTCTCGATTTCCCCTCGAAACTTTGGCACGAACCCTGATTGACGACTCGGCGGATCGCTCGCCGCGATTCAACAACAAAGCATTTGCTCTGCTTGGAAATGACCTGTTGGGCTTCTATACATCTGAATACATTATAAGTCAATACCCAAGGCTACCGCTCGCGGTTATCTACGCAGCGATGTACGCCTATCATGGGCCAGCGACGTTGACACAAATGACGAGGGAATGGGGCGTGGAAGCTGCTGCAGAGCCTGGAGGCGAGGTCGACCCAGGCCTCTTACAATTCAAGAGGATGCCGCCGGAGCAGACTCTCGGAGATGGGGAGTCAGGACCAAACAACAATAATAATGACCCGAGAGCCAAATGGACGCGAAGTTTAAGTGCGAAGTCGGTACACAACGATCAATTTGGTGAATTGCCGGAACGTCCAATTCCACCAGAAGATCTGGCCTCAAAGGGTGTCACCCTGCAACGAGCCAGCACAAACTTTGTGAGAGCAGTGATTGGTGCAGTATACCTGCACGCTGGAAGAGCAGCCGCAAAGAAATTTTACAGCGATCACTTCATGTCGCGACAACTGGATATGTCGAGTCTATTCCAGTTTAAGAATCCAACCAGAGACTTGAGCCGATTATGCGGAAGAGAAGGATTCCAGGCACCCGTGGCAAAGATTCTGAGCGAAACAGGGCGGAAGAGCAGGACCCCCGTCTATGTGGTGGGAATATACTCCGGCAGCGATTTGTTAGGGGAAGGCGCAGGGGCCAGCTTGGACGAAGCCAGAACACGAGCGGCGGTTGCAGCACTCAAGGGCTGGTATCTGTACAGCCCAACCGAATTTCGGTTGCCGAGCGAAATGGAAGAGCCTGGAGCCAAACCGTGGACGCCCATTCTGGTGGATGCCGGCGAAGTTGTCGGCTAAGGTCTGCTCGAGCCTTTTGTCCTCGCGGCCTTTTGTCGTCGAGGCTCAATGTACTTTTATGACACCTTGAACAAACATTCTGAGGGGACATATGTAAGGCATTATCAGGCGCTGGGAGCAGCTATAGTGAGGAAGGCAGCCACTGGTGGGTCGTGGAGACCCATGCAGAGGCAAATGTTAACAAATGTTCCTCTCCAACCTGTTCTGTGCGACTTATATGTTAGCGGCCCTCAGCCCGGTTGCAAGGCGCAAATAGGCTGGCAGCTAATTAAAAGGATAAGGAACACTCAGACATGGCTGGGGCCGTGACCTCGTCCAGTGCCTGAGAAGCGGTGAACACGGTTTGAAGATGATGTACGTAACGGGCGATCTTGGACTGTGGTGGTTTGGTCAATATCTTCCCAACTCCCTGACCAGGCTCGCCAGATCCTGCGGAGGACAGAGTCACGCCAACGAGTATACGGAATAGCCAGCTCGCCAGATGTACTCCGTGCCGCCCTCGCTCCGTACTCTGTCTCTATGTAAGGGGCTCCTGCATGATGCGCAATGAACACTGGCAGTACCAACAAGAGGCGAAGGGGTTGGCGGCTTGGCGTTCTTGGCGGCTGTCCTGATGACGTCGCAGGGTCGATTGCTAATTAGGAGCCTTTTCCACTCCAACTCGATCGGATACGCACAGTGCCTGGCATCAGCAGAGGCAAATGCTAAGCGACAATCAACTGATTCAACGGGCTGAGAGGCTATTGGCAAGAGCGCTGGGCTCCCCCAGAATTGGGCGTCCCGTCTCTTTGGGGAGATCGACCACACACGAACACGAGGGACCTTTGAGCAACACAAAGTGCTCTCAGGCATCGCCCGGCTTGCGCCACACACACTCAAACGAGGCCGGCAGCCCGCGAATCATGTTCATCATTCGACCAGGACCACCCGATGGACTTGCAGAAATTGATCAGGGAAACAAAAGAGTCAGTATGCGAGTCTCCCCGCTTCGCCTGGATCCCTCAGATCAATTGCCTTGGTGGGCGCATGACTGGCGCTTGTGACTTGGTGCCTTCGACCACCATCATTTCGAACATTCCATGGGCCGGTATTTAGCCTTGCTAGGCGGTCTTCGAATACTCTTGTCGACGTTGTTGCCTCTTGTGGCGGATCGACGTTCCGCAGCATGTGGTTCCTATTCTTGTTATAAGCCTGCTTATCGACTCGTCCTTCTTCAACCTGATTTTCCCACCATACTCGTGTCTACTGGGAAAACAACTCACGAATTCCCCACGATGGCAGCAGCAGAATACTTTACAGCAGGCCCCAGGCCCCCGCTGGAACAACAGAACTATAGCTCTCATGTACCTCCACAGCCTCAGAGATCGCACTCCTCACAGCATGGATTCAGTTACCAACCCACTCAACCAGGCCACCTGAGTCCACAGTTTGGCGTTCAACCGCCATCTCCATATGCTGCTCCTCCCACTTCGCATCCCCCTCCCTACCAACCCCTCAACAACGAACCGAAAGTTCATTTTGTACCCATCCCTGCGACGTCCGGGCAGCACCGACCTCCCCCCCCAAGCCAGCCGACGTACTCCCTCAATCAGCCCAACTTCCAGGCCAGTCCCGGGCAGCAACTATCTCCATATCCTCCTGGTCCATACGTGCCTCAAGCCTATCAACACCAGCCTTACGGACCACCTCGTCATCGACCTCACCACAGGCCATCACACAGCGACCTGCCGGGGTCCGGGTATTCCTCAGATCCTGAGCCCAACAGAAGAAAGCACAAGGACCGACCCCGTCGCATATCAGACAATTCACGATCTACAAACGCCGACGGATTCATCGGTGCCGCTGGCGGCGGACTACTAGGCGACCTTCTGTTCCCCGGGCTAGGTACTGTCGGTGGCGCATTGGTGGGATGGGTCGGTGGCAAAGATTATGGAAAGCACAGGAAGTGGAGAGAAGAAAAGAGAGATCGAGAGCAGGAACGCTGGGAGAGGGAATACCACAGAAGAAGTAGCAATAGTCGATCGAGGAGTCAGAGTCGAGACAGAGACACGCAGCGGTCGGGACATAGTCATGGTGGCCATGACGAGCGAAGACACAGTCATGAAAGACGGAAGGGCTATGAATAAGACGGACGGGATATTCGTGGGACTTTTGGACAAGCAATTTGCAGACGTTTTGTCGACGATATGATGTGACCTTGAGCAATGGGAGCCAGATGATGATGACGCACCATCAACGAGTTTACGAGCTTTGTTCCCAAGAACACGCTCGGCCCGAACGGCTGGTCTTTCCGGGCTGAATAATGAATTATTAGGTACCAGGAAGATGGGGAACTTTGGTTTTTTGGAAGTCTCGCTGTGGTCGTGTGATGTGTAAAGACTTGCCTTGGGACGAATCAAGGGGACAGCGGGACAGCATGACATGCAGCCCAGATCCGCCGTAGGTGGCAAATCTGACGATATACCAACGAGGTAGTACTGATATATCGCCTGGTCCACTTCTGCCAGCACGTTTGCCTATTCCGGTGGAGAGAGCAATCTTCCTGAGGCTCGAACAGGCAAATATCCATTTCGTCCGCTTTAGAAAGTGTTCTTCATTGTCCACAATTCCCTTCTTGTTCCACGGGAGCCTAGACTGGGCATGTCCTGCGAATCACTCTACAAACAGAGTGCGCCTTGCGTCTTGGGGTTGTCAGTGTGTCCAGCCTGACGAGTCTTTCTGGGGGCGAGAATTGTGGTGCCGTGAAAAATGATGTTGGACAGGTAGGGCCCCCACCCCACAACGTTCTTTGCGGCACAACTGCCTGGCGTTGGCGGCAGAGACAAATACGTGATGAGGCGCTGCGTCCTAGCTATAGAATCTAGTTCGACATTCTCGACTTGTTGCTGTTTGTTGCTGCGCCCGGCGCCGCGACAAAAGTCACACAGAAGTTGGGGAAGCTGAAGTATTGCCCGACAAATGGACCATGCAGACAAAAGTCCCTACGTGGCACATTGGCACGACATTACTTTTTGTGTTCGCTTCAGGGCTGTGTCAATCCGCGTACTTGACGAACCTAGAGCTTCGTCGTGTCGGTTGTTTTTTGCCCGAGAGATGAGAGGTGATTGACACGCGCTTCAACGCTGCAATCCACCCGCGCTCTGTCTGCCATTGCCCAGGCACACAGTCATCTCAGTTCCGGTAGGGGTGCAAGATCCCAAGTCTTTCGTCGACGCGCCTGGCGAGGCGGGGGAAGTTTCACCAATCCGTCAGACCCGCCCATTGTCAAGATGATGCAACAGCTTGGACACTGGATATATTTACGAGCAGCGGTTGCTAGAAGGAAGATTAGATTTGCTATGGAACAAAGTGAAATCGTCTGGAGTGAGTGTTTGCAATAGTATGACCAGCCTCTCGAAGGGGCAAAGGGGGGTAAAGATATTTGTAATGACATTAATTTATTCTGCACGTAGGGCCCATTTAGCGGGCAATTTCTTGCCAAGCCTGCCAAGATATGTCAGAAAATCTAATGACATCGCCAAATGTGCGCTTTGATTCGTGACTTCACGTCTTCACTCCCATCTCCCTTCTCATTCCGATTGTTGGTTTCTTGATCTCACTATGTCCCGTCCTTTGCCCAATATTTGAATGATCCTGGTCGATGATTGGAAGGTCAGATGGACTCGGTGAGAATTTTAGCTACCCAACGAATGAGTTTGCAATTTGCCTCACTGAATCGACATGTTGATGCCTGCAAAACGACCACGGTTGGAGAGACGCGCAACCACAGACCGCCGGAATGGCATGCGGAATGGACGCGGACGACCTATGAAACAATTCAATGAGCTCAAGCCTTCGCGCAAAGATCGAACCCTACAATCGAGCATCATACACAAACAGCTCACCGCAGAAATCGAAACTCCGAAGGAGGCATCAGCTCTCGAGTTATTGCCGGTCGAAATCATTGAGCAGATCTTCTTCGATTGCTTGGAACTGAATCTCCCTAGGGCGTCGCCACATCTCGCCCGAGCTCTCTCCAGACGCTCAATCTATTCTGCACTCGTTTTGTTCGCCTATTTTGAGGTAGACTCATCGAGTTATGTCGAGACTCGCCATTTCTTGCCAGCTGCATTCAGGGTGATTGGGTGTGACAACCAGAGGCGTCTACAAGAAGACATTCTGAGGACTAGATGGTGCACGTTGGACCTCCTTCAATCTTGCATGCCAGCTCTAGCCAGATTGACCATGCTTAGGCTATGGCACCGTCAAAAAGAAAAAATTGACCGTGCCAAAGAAGAAACGATAGCAGAAAGAACTGACAACCAGGAGTCTTTCGGGAACGGCATCGTACTACCCGATTTCGATTCCATTCTCCCGGCACTTGACGACCAATCCAGCATGGAAAAGTATTTCAGTCTCGAGGCAGCCATGCTACCAAACGGGCAACAAGATCAGACGGCATCATCCGAGACTTCAAATGAATATCTCAATTCATTTATCGAAACTTCACCTGACTGGGCCATCCAACGACCATGGACCAGCCACCATCTTCTTCCCACTTGGACGACAAAGAGTATATTCGCGGTATACGTCATCCCAGATAACATTGTGCTCCGCAAACCATGGACGGACACAAACATGAAATTACTTCGGCTGTTGATCCAAGGCATACGACCTGAAGGTCTCGGCGACCAGGGAGTTCCATCGTTTCAAGCAATGTGCGACGGCATGGCGAATGCTATTCAAGAGGGTAACGTGAAAGCCCTGCGCGTGCTGGTTAACCTAAATGACACAATCGGGAGGGCGGGTCAAGCTCTACCCTTAAGCTTGCTCCACTTGGCTTGTCAGCAGCCTACTTTACCGGTACACCTTCAGTGCCGCATAATGCTGCAACTCCTGAGAAACCCCGCCACATGCGCCAAGATTGTTGCCGCGGACGACGAGATACTCCTGCGTTGGGCCTTACGTACTGCGAGCTCTTCACCAGCAGCGCATCATGTGCCGATAGCAAGGGCCGTGCTCCTAGCCATGGGAATGAAGACACAATGAAGGCACCCTGTTGAGTCCTAGCCCGATTTCCGGTACACAACCCAGAACTCTATCGGCCTAGGCGTCCACAAGAGAAAGGAGAGGTATTTTGCTGGCAGAAGATGTCGCTGGATCGGAAGAGGGACAATGGTTGTTACATGCATCTGATCCATTATCCTCCGTTCGCTTCGGTTTCAACATCTTGGTCGGAGCACGGAACGGGCACTCAGTGGTCATTATGCGCTACACAGACGAAGATTGAAAGCAGGACCTAGCATGACCCCCCACGCCTGCGAAAGGCTGCCAGAGAGAAATGCACAATCAAGGAGATTCTTGACTTTTGATTGTATCCTAGATTTTGGGCTGTTGAAGCCCAACTCCGTGCCCATGCCCATTTTCGACGACAGGCGCTATGCTCGATGACCTTGGACGTTCCCCATCGACACAAATTCTCTCCCCGACCCAATCCATCTAACTTGGGAGTAGCCGATCACGGCTCCCCAGGCCAAATGCGATCGGCAATCCTCCTCACCAGCTTCAACTTCTCCACCATATCGGGTCTCTTGACGGCGTTGCCGCTAGAATGGCTGGCAAACCCGCACTGCGGACTCACGCCGCACCTGTTGAGTGCTTCCTTCTCAGTCTCGCCTGTCCCCTTGCACATCCAGCCCGCGGCCTCCTTGACGCGCTTGACCATCTCGTCCTCGTCCTCCATCTTGGGGAACTTGCTCGTGACCACGCCGAGGATGACGTTTTTGTTCTTGGGCAGGTGCTGGAGCGGCTCAAAGCTGCCGGCCCGCGGGGTATCGTATTCGAGGTAGTAGGTGTGCATGTTGAGCTTCTGGAACAGCAGGGTGGCGATGCGGTCGTAGCCACCCTCGGAGAAGTGGCGCGAGTTGACAAAGTTGCCCCGGCACAGGTGGACGCCGACGTGCATGTCGGACGGGATTTGAGAGATGCATGCGTTGTACAGGTCGATGTACTTGGCGAGGAGTTCGTCGGTGGAGTAGGTGTTCAGAGGATCCTTTTCCCAACCTGCGATCATGGCTTCGGAGCAGAAGTCTGGTTCGGGGGAGAAGAGAGAGGAGAAATTGTCAGTTTAGATTCGGATATGTACCTAGTACGTTTGGGCGATGGCGACCATAGAAGAAGAACTTTGGTAGAACGAGCCCACTTACAAGCCAAATTTGGGTCATCAAACTGCACATTCCTCAACCCGTGCTCGTACAAGATCCTCAGTTCCTCCTGATACGCCTTGGCAATGTCGGCAAAGTACTCATCGTCGTTCTTGTACACGTCGGCGGGATACGCCTTGCCCTGCTTGTACCGCAGATGGTACCAATTGGGGGCAGCAAGGGTGAGTTTGAGGTCCTTCCAGCGGGATTGCGGGACGAGGCTCTTGAGGAAGTCGAACTGGGCGGTGTAGGTGCTGCCCTTGTGCCTGATCTTTCCCGTGCACAGGACGGTCTCGCCGGGCTTGTAGCCCTCCTCGGTGAAAGCCGCGATGTCGGGGATGTACATTCTGAAGAGGTCCGGGTCTGGGTGCTCGATCTCGGTCATGCCCTCGAGCCCCGGCCAGAAGGAGCCCCAGAACATGTGGCGGCGGTACTCGCCGTCGGTCAGGGCGTGGAAGCCCAGCTCCAGCTGCAGGGCCACGATGTCCTTGATGTCGCCGTCCTCAACCTCCTGCAGCGCCGTCGCCGACGCCTTGCCCGCTTCCCACGCGTGCCGCGTCTCAAGCAGCTTGTCGGTGCGCAGGAGGGAGCCCAGGTGCTCGGCGCGGAAGGGCGGGTTGCGGTGCAGAGGGCACGACATGTTGATCGTACTCGGTATGGGGGTCTAGGGAGGTGGAGGGGGGACGTAGGGACGGGTCGTTCTCCAAGCGGCTGTCGGTGATGTAGATAGAAACTATGTTCTCAGGCACAAGACTAACAAACCTGTTTTATTTATGGGCCAGTATCTGTGTTTGTTTGCCTCAGAGCATGAATAAGAGAGTTGCAGTATAGGGTAGACCGCAAAGCAGAGCGGGGAGGAAGGGGAAAAAAAGAGAGAAATGGCCGATGATTCAATAGGTGAACAACATCCTACCCAATAACTGGCTAGCCAGCCAAGTGTATAACCAGGAACCAGTCAGTATGATCCATCTCCACAACGTTATTGCCCCGCAATTGGCAAATGGGTTTTTCCTGTTCTTTTTTCTTCCCTCTTCCTATGCCACCAAGGTGAGGAGGGGAGGCGAGGAAGAGGGGTAATTAAAGGGGTTTGGTATGTACCTGTAGATGGAAGTTGGTGTTTGCGGGGAAACGACGACCATGACATGAGTGGATTACATAAATAGGTCAGGGTTCACGTGATCGGTCTATCAATGGACGCTGTCTGCCTCGATGTTTCACTTCCTCAGCCCGTCTACCCGTCCACCCAATTGATTCAGCCCGGAGTTACCACAACCAAGGCAGCGAGGCGAGGCAGCACCACGGCGTCTTGGTATGTAGCTCGGTAGGCACCAGCAGCAGAGTCCGATGCCTGCCCTTGGGTGTTATCACCGCAACCACCTTCAGTCAACATCGCCCTTCGCCATCGATCGATTTGATTGTCAAGCTGACCGTCTCGATTGGGATGCTCAGTGACCTGAAGTGCTTCTCGTTGCATCGAACAGTTGGCCCCGGATATTGCCATCGCCCTTGAAGCGCGGACATCAACGACCTCTCTCTTATCACCCCTAGCCGTGGGCCCAAGGGACACGAGCTAACTCCATCTCACAGTCCAAATGAAGCTCATCGAACACCCTAATGAGATCCTCAGCCGCATCATCTCGTTCCTCGACACGCCCAGCCCATTTGATGATGAAATCCTGCAGAAGCCCAAATCAGCCCTGACTCCCTTTGAGTCCGAGGCGGGCATCGAGTTGACCATTATCAAGGCATCTGCCCTGAAGAACTTGACCTTGACATGTCGCTTCCTCCGTGCTCTGACCCTCCCCGTCCTCTTCAAGCACGCCGTGCTCCATCCCCTCCTGCTCAGCGACTTTCTCTCTTTTCTCAAGAGCCATGACCTCTCTCAGCATGTCGTCAGCGTTGTTGCCCACGTCCCGGGCCATTACAACCACGTCCACCCGGCATGGTGGGCGCGCTTGCTCAACGAAGTTCCCGCAACCCGCCTCAGCATTATCGCCGCCCCCGAGGTGTTCGCCGAACTGGCCAGGATATCCTTATGGAGCAGTGATGCCTGGGCCTTTGACATGGCGTTCCAGATCCTGCAGCTCGACCAGACGCCCGAAGCCGCCCGGATGCGGATCGACTACGACGACCTACCCAATTTTCTAGTTGCGCGACCCTGGCAGAACATGGTCGTCAACGAGGGCTCCAGCCTCCTGGCATACACCACCTACGAATTCTTTCTGCGGCGGACCCCGTCCCTCCTGACGGCGCTGCACTTTAATTCTTCAGGGCCCGGGGACAGCCTATTCGCGAACCTGTTGAGTTTCGACTTTGTGGCCATCTTTCCCTTTTACAACCATGTGGACGAAGTGCTGAAGTGCGTGCGCAAGATGAAGCGGCTGCGGCGCCTGTTCGTCAAGTTGTGCCCGGAACCAGAGAGCACGTGGTTCCGCGACGAGATTGAGGCTGCCGGCGGGGCTCTGGACATCCACGACCCGTGGAACGAGTGCGAGACGTCGTGGACGCTGATCGCGCACAGCGTGGTGTTCTTGACCACGGCCCACGGCCAGCTTTGCGAGTTGCAGATGGACGACGTCAAGGTGGAAGCCATGCGCCAGACATTGGAGCAGGGCATTGGCTCCCTTTTGAAGGAGCGGTGGTGCTATGAGGATCCGGCATCGGGCATCTGGCGACGGCGGCGGATAGAGCAGGGTTCTCCGGGACAGGGGTAGGGCCGAGATGTATGTGATGGGAAAGAAAGGCCAGACCACCCCAAGCAAGACTCCCAACGCCCTTGCTTTCCTTTCCCTTCTTCCCCAGGACTGGCCATATTATATTATCTTTTAAATGGGGCTGTATTAGCAAGGCGAGGGGTGGATCACAGTCAGTCCTTCGAGATGTATATCGGCCAGCAAGCGAGCCAGCGAGTGAGCAAGCAAGCTATGAGGACGAAAGGCACAAACCGGCGCATATTTGAGGGGTTGGGAGAGGGGGCAAACAAGTCTGCCAGTTTTTACCGAATGTGAATGGGAATGTGAACCTAATTCTGGGATCTGGATCTGGATCTAAATCTCAATCTGAACCTGTCTGCATATGACGATCATATACGAATCGAACCCGTCAGGCTGTCCTTGGTCTTTGCGTACAAGGTATTCAGGTCATTCCCCCTTTCCCGCCCCCTTTCTTTTTGCCTTTCTGCCTCCCCTTTCTTCATCTCGTCCTTTCCATCTCACATGCCCGTGTCAAGAACATAAGTTCAAGAGAAGTCTCCGTCTCCGGTCCCGGTCCCGGTCCTCGTTCTCATCGTCCTTCTCCTTCTCATAGCCATGTATGGTGGTATGATGTAATGCAAGTGAACGGAAGGTAGGCCATAGACTCGCAAGGCTCGGCCACTCTGAGAAGACACCCCGCCCAATCAACGTACTCATAGGCAGTTGTACCTACCTATCTAGACATCTATAGGTATATATGCACTTGCCATCATTGTAGGTAATAGGCCGTTTAACAACGACAATGCGAACATTTCTCGTACGTCATCAATCATCAGTCATCAGGTGATCGAAAGTATGACATGATATCAGACAAGAGTACCCAGTAAATGTACCTGCTTGGTATGTACAGCCTGGTGCCGGGGTTGCGTATCAAGGTTGCCGGGAAATGGGGGGAAAGGGCGGCAACCACCAGCGGAAGAAAGTTCCAAAGGGACACCAAGCTGGATAAAAGGTCTAAAGGGTAACCAAGGCAATTAAACTCCTGTCTACCTACTTAGATAGGGAACAAGAAAAATAATGTACAAGTATGTGGTCAATGACAGGCTAGATCTTAAAAATCCTTTACAAATTTGGTTTTTTCTTCCGATCATAC